CCCTTAGCCACGATCACATCTCAGCAGTGTGCTCGGTTCCTTTGGCGCAATGTCGTCTCCCGTTTTGGCGTGCCCGTACATCTCATCAGCGATAACGGTCGCCAATTTGTGAGCCAATATTTTCAGAATTTCTTGGCCACGATCGGGACGACTCATGTCCGGTCGTCTGTCGCTTACCCGCAGGGAAATGGACAAGTGGAAAATGCTAACCGGACGATATTGGAAGGTCTGAAAAAGAAGTTACACTCGGCCGGTCGTAGTTGGGCCGATGAGTTGCCATATGTCTTATGGACTTATCGGACGACCCCGAGGGAAGCTACTTTAGAGACCCCTTTCGCCCTGGTTTACGGAGCCGAAGCCCGACTCCCGATCGAGGCTTGGATCCCGACCGATCGAGAGAGAACCTACAACGCGGAGGACAATGAACATGCCATGGCTGTGGATCTCGATGCGGTCGAAGAAAAAAGAGAGCTAGCCGCTCGGCGTATGGCCGAGTACCAGAAGCGCGTCAAGAGCTCGAAGGACGTTCGGGTTAACCCTCGTTATTTTCAAGTCGGAGATTATGTCTTACGACGAAGGGAGGCCAGTCAACCTTTAGAAGGGGGAAAGCTAGCTCAGAACTGGGAAGGGCCGTACATCATCAACGCCGTCATCCGGCCGGGAACATACCGACTAGAGACAACGACGGGTCGGCTAATAGAGGGGACTTGGAATTCCGAGCACCTCGTTCTTTTTAGGCATTAGCCTATCTTTTGTATTTTTAGACGAAGTGGGGGCTGGACCTGCGAGTTAGTCCCGGTCGTCGTTTCTATGTAAATTTATGGTTGTAAAATTAGTTCAACCGCCTGCGAGCGGGAAAGTTTAATGTATATACGATTGATGATTGCTCGACCGTTTGTATGCGGCGGCACGATCGGTTATTTTCTTTCACCTTCGTCATAAGCAGATCAGTTCAACATTCAATCGACCGGGTGAAGACTGTCGACCGGTCAAAACGCGCTCCACATAGGCGGACACTCAAGTCACGCCACCGATCGGGGAAGCCAGGAGCTCTCAGTATTATTCCCCGATCCGTCCAACTTCTGTCCACTATCGCACCCACTCGTGCCTCGAGCGCACAATAGTGTGGGGGCTGGGATAAGGAAGTAAGGTACAAGGCCCGTCGCTCGGTTACATTCCGACCGTAGAGGCTTGCTTGTTCTCGGCCCGTCGCTCGGTTACATTCCGACCGTAGAGGCTTGAAAATTTTTCGACAAAGGCCCGGAGATCGGGTAAACCTGATCGGTTGGCCAGTTTTGAAGTCGAAACATCGAACGCACGACCAGGCCATAAGGTCGTAAGATCGGGCGTTGAGCGGATCGAGTGTCGCGAGACCGGGTCTAAAGGCCAAGTGGTCGTGTGATTATGATCAGTGTGCGAAAAATGAAAAGCAAGAAGATAAAAGACGAACGACGCAAGTTAGAGCAAAAATAAATATTATTAATCCACAAAAGGCGCCCGGTACAATTCGGGACCGGGCTCCCGATCAATCGTCATTACAAAAAAGGGGGAGACAAGCCTAGCCTACTTCTTCGCCTCCCGAGCTCCAGCAGCTGCTTCCTTCCCGCTCGAAGGGGCCGCCAACGATGCCCCGGGCTCGGACGCCTTGGCTTTCGGGGCGAAGGGAGAGGGACCGGGATCGGCTAGGTCTGGGGGCAAGACCGAGAGGACCAGCTGAAGGTCCTCCCCCTCCAAAGCTTGCTCCAACCGGGTACGGACTCGTTCGAGCATCTTCCGCTTCCCGGCCGAAAAACCCCAGCGGCCGAACGAGACGATCAGTTCTTCACCGATCGCCGTTCCCCAGGCTTCTGTGAGGAAGGCCGAGCCCAGGTCCTTATCTTTGAAGGCTGCTCGCGCTAGCTCGCTCGGGCTCTCGAGCTGAGCCTTCAGCTCCCTGGCCTCCCCAATCGCCCGGCTGGCGACCTTCTCGGCCAGCACCCGCTCCTCGTCACCCTTCTTCAGGGCCTTCTCCGTTTTCTCCAGCTCGGCCTGGAGTTCCTTGATCTCCTTCAGACGACGAGCGGCCGTCTTCTTGTGGTGATCAGCCTCCTCGGCCAGCATAGCTTGACCCTGAAGAAGTTGGGTCGCCCGGGAGATCTGCAATACAAAGAAGGGTACTCAAAATTAGCCCGATCAAAGATACTAGGGCCATAAAAAAGTTGGGACTTACCTCAGCAAGATCGTAGCCGATCCGCTCAGCAACCTGGGTCGGGGTCATCTTCCCCAGGTCCGCTCGGGCTGGCGCGGCATTGCCGATCCGTGCCAGCACGGATGTAGGCCCCCTCTCCCGCCCGGCCGAAGGGGTCGGGCTGTGCTGTTCACGGCGGCGCTTCAGGCTGCCCACCTCGGTCGCGCCCTGGTCGGCGACCTTCTCCTTGCCCCGGGCGACCTCCACCCGAGTGACTAGAACGTCCGGCTGCTCCACGATGAAGCCCTCGCCCGTCGTCACGGTCGAGGTGCTCAGAGGGCGGGCAGATGGGATCTCCTTCTCCCCGGCCGCCTTGGTCTTGGCCTTCTTCTTCCCGCCAAGCGAGATCTTGACGGGTGGGGGAAGGGCGGTGTCTTCATCACCGAACTCGGCCATAGCTGCAAAACAAGAAAGTTAGTTAGATCGAGATAATAAGCCAGGTCGAGAGAAGTAGCTCGTGGTAAACCTTTCTTCTTTCGTTTGGACGGCTTGGCGACCGTCACGCCCATCGGAACGGGCAGGTACTTTTCCCTTAGCTCGTACGTGGGGGGCGGGAGCTTGGCGGCTTCCAGACTCTCGGCCGTCCGGAAGATGGTGTATTCGTGCAGCTCGCTCGAGATACGGGAGACCGTTTCCTTGAGCGCCTGGGTCGCGTCCGGCACCACTTGTTTTCGAAAGTGGGTGCTCCAAGTGCGGTCAACCAGGAGGATCCAGGGGTCGTACTTGATGGAGAAAATCCTGTTTTTCCACCCCTTGTTGTTCCCGGGCAAGCCTCTGATCGAGCACATATCTGCTCGGGATTGCAGCATCAGGAACCCACCCCCGTAGCGGCCCGGGAGAACCTTGATCTGGTAGATGAAGTTAAACAACTCCATCGTGCACTCGGCCTCGTGCCGAGCGCATATCTGTGGGAAGCAGGCCAGGATCCGATGTGCGTTCGGACAGATCTGGGCCGGGACGACCCGGTAATAGGCCAAGAAGGCGTTCAGAAGGGGGGTGAAGGGAATGGCGATCGGGGCCATCAGGGAGTCGTAGTGCATCCCGATCCACTTGCCCCGATGCCTCTCAATCACGTTTCCCAGCTGCCGGCTCGTGTCAAATTCTGCCCGACCCCGGAGTATTTCAGCAATCCGAGCCGCCTCGCCTTTGGACAGCAGGCTCATTTCTTGCTCGACGCTCTCGCTGTTCAAGAACTCGAGCTCGACGGCTGGTGTGGCCGGCCCGGCCGGGTCTTCTTCGGTCTGCTCGGGGGTATTTTCTCGATCACCCCCTCGAGGAGCAGCCTCCGGGTGGTCCCCATCCACCCGGGTAGGCGTTTCCCTAACGCCCTCGGTTGGAGAACCCCGCCCGCTTGACGTGGTCCTCTCTTCCTCTTCTTCGCTGGAGCTCCCCGATCCGCTCGAACTTGAGCTTGACGATCCAGAGGAGCTTGATGCATTGTCTCGCTCGGCGGCTTGCTCGGGGGCTGGCGTCGCTCGGGGACTGGCGTCCGGGGTGTAGGACATAATGTCCACCTCCTCGTCGCTGATGTGCTCGACCTCCTCGTCGTAATCAGCAATCGAGGCGTTTTGACTGTCTGAGTCCGTCATATCGATCTACCTAAAGGTCGGTCGGAGTTAGTAGGGACTTGAGACGTCCGGGACAGTTAGTTGACCTAGCAGTTCTACCTATAAATGAGAGCCTAAAGTAAAGAGGAGGGTTAAGAGCTTACCGATTGGAGGAAGATTGAAGTTTGAAGCTTGAAAGTTGAAGTTTGCTTGTTCGACTGCCTTGCTAAGCTGCTCTGCTCGGGACTCTCTGAGGGTACCGACTGATGCGAAAGAGTGAGGAAAGTTCAAATGAGGGCCTCAAGGGCCTATTTATAGGAGGACATTTAGGCGGGAAATGGGCCAACCTGCCTGACACGACCCGCGCTGAATCCGAGGCGACGGATGGGATCGCCGAGGCCGGCAGAGGCCGACACGTGGCGTAGGGGGGAATGACAGCTGGCCGGTCGGTCTAATGCCTGACGGTTGGGCTTCTTCATCCCGTCCCGTTTTTTCCCGACTGATCAAAAAGGCCCGGGCTGGGGGGCTTTTGGTAGGGAATATCCCGACCGACATACGCTCCACCACGACCGATTTGCCTTTGTCTTTCTCTTGTGATCTTTTCAGGTGGCAGGTCGGGCTTTTTTTCATGAAGACCCCGGTCGGGAATGGCCGGGAGTTGCCCGAGCGCTGATGTCAACCACCGAGCGGTAGCCCTTCGACGAAAGAGCTGGTACAAGGACGCGAGAGGACGCGTGGCGGCTCTTCATGGCGACAGGCAGGGCACCCGGGAAGATGACACGTGGTGGCTACGTGGAAGACATGCCGAGCGGCAGGAATCTTGTCCCCGGCATAGCGGCTATAAATGCCCACAGTAGCTACAGTGTAGGGGACTTTTGGACGATCGATAGGTTGTTGTTAGAGAATCCCGACCGCAGTCAGTCGGTACTCAGAACAACCAAGCAGATTGTACTTAGGGCCTTTCCCGGGATCAATAAAGATTTTACTTGCTTTAATTGGTCTCGTGATATTTTATATTGCTTACGTAGTATTAGCAGTATCAATATATATATATATATATATATATATATATATATATATATATATATATATATATATATATATATATATATTGATCTTGAGCTTATTGTTACAGAAGTGTCATTGAACTACAAACTATCTGTCATTTAATTTACTAACATATTTTGTCACATTCATAAACATCATATATATATCCCTGCATCCAGCTATTCGACCATAGCATGGGTGGCATGTCTAGGCCGAGGTCGGATCCCAAACGTGAGCTACGCCTACAAGAGCAGAAGCACCGCCGACGCCATGTTCCGCGTGTCCAACGCCTTGGGCCAGATCACATTTGCGTACGCCGGCCACGCGGTGGCGCTGGAGATCCAGGCCACCATTCCGTCCACGCCGGAGAAGCCGTCCAGAGTTCCGATGTGGAAGGGCGCCGTGGGCGCTTATATTGTGAACGCAATTTGCTACTTTCCGGTGGCCTTCGTCGGATACTGGGCATTTGGGCATGATGTTGACGACAACGTGCTGGTCACACTCCAGAAGCCCTCTTGGCTCATTGCTGCTGCTAACTTCATGGTAGTCATCCATGTCATCGGCAGCTATGGCCATGCAACTACTATACGAAGGTCTACCTTGGGTAAACTTGACGTCCAGCATTAAGTAGCTAGTGGATTATTGGGCAGAGGTCCCTGAATATGACCAAGTTCAGCGCTCTAGCTACCTTGCGAAAATATAGCAATGGCTGCTACACATGTATAAGGAAATAAATTAAAGTTGCGTTTAGCTGGCTATAGTTTTTGACATAATAATGGTTAATGTTTTATCTTAATAAATTTAAAATTTTGTGACATTAGCCGGTAATTCATTGCCCATAGCTGATCGGCTTAAACAAATAGATGTACTACTGCTTCAGCGGGATGTTAAGCTTGTAATATTGATTACTAAGTTAATAACAGTCTGATCAATTTGGATAGATGGGCTTTGCCCATTTTCATTACATTTTTCTTTCTGAATAAAACATATATATTTTTACCAATGTGGCCTTGAGAAGTTAATTGCGTGCCTACCAAAATTTTTTGCAGGTTTATGCAATGCCAGTGTTTGATATGTTGGAGAGAACAATGGTGAAGAGATTGAACATTCCTCCGGGATTAGTGATGAGGCTCGTCGTTCGTTCTGCTTACGTTGGTGAGACTTCTGTATTTAACTTATATTGGCTCTGTTTGATAAATGGCTGTTAGTTATAGTGGTTAACTCTTTAATTGATTGAGTTAATTAGAGAGTATAATTAATTGATAACATTAACTGATTGTAGAAAGGTGTTGGTAAATTAGCTATTAGCTGATAGCTGTTTGGTATCATTTCTTTTCTCAAAAAGCAATTGAAAAAGTTGTTAACTTTAAAATTTTAGCATTTTGACTAGATAGGGTTGAGTTGACTAGCTGATAAGCTAACTATTTTAGCTGATATATAAGGCAAAATTTTGTTGCCTTAACCCGCTCTACCATAAGGTAAGTTAGGGTTGACTTGTTGGTTTAGATACACTTTGACAATTGACACCCTTAGCTTTATCATCAAGATTTTATATAATTTATATTTGTTATATATTATTGGCTCTCTTGATTTATAGAGTTAATTATTATTTAGTAAAAGCTCTAAACTTGAATAATGTGCAGCCTTCACTTTGTTTGTTGGTGTAACTTTTCCTTTCTTTGGAGATCTTCTTGGCTTCTTTGGTGGATTTGGCTTTGCTCCCACTTCTTACTTTGTAAGTCCAACTTCCCAATCCTTCAAATTTAATATTTTATTTTATACATAAAATATAATTTTATTGAATAGTGCCATTTTTTTTCCTTTAAATACATTAAAATATTATTTAAATAATAATCTCATTGAATAAGATTCACCCAAAAGAAAAAGAAAAAGAAAAAAAAACCACTAATAATAAAACAACTTAGAAACTTTTTTTTTTATCTTTTATTTTTGTTGACAAATATTGCAGCTTCCTAGCATAATTTGGCTAAAGATCATGAAACCAAAGAGATTGAGCATTTCATGGTGCATAAATTGGGTAAGTTCAAGTTCTTAATCTTCATTTAATCCCACAATTGAAAATACTACATTTAGTCACTCAATTATGACGATTTAATTTTCTAATTACTTAAAGTGTAGTTTAGTCTTTCTGTCATCATTATCAAAGTGGCTAATTTGGTTCTTCAAGAACTAAATCCACCACCGATATGCCACTTAATAAATTAAAATAATTATTTAGGTAAATTCATCACTTTGATAATAACTAAGAGATTAGATTTGCATTGCAACTAACTGATGGACTAAATTTACAGTACAATCATAATTGAGTGATTAAAAGTGACAATATTATTATTATTATTATTATTATTATTATTATTATTATTATTATTATTAGCACCGTATACAATAAAAAGTGAATGCAAAAAGTTTTAGAGTGTATACATATTAGCAACAATCACCATTACTTTCCAATTTTCATTGATCCAACACTACACATCCCAAAAACCAATTTCAAGACCCAAAAGAAACATCCCAGCCCAATAACCTTTTTACAGCCCAAAAAAAATCACTGTCTAATAATAAAACAAATCCCTTGTAAAATTTATGAAGAGTAAACCACAAGGTCACGTGTTCAAATTTCAGTCCTTTTGATTTGAGCCAATCAGCTATGAACAACCTAGACTAGTTTACTTCCTTGTGATCATTTGTCAGCTAAGATCACAAGACGTGATTTACCCAATACACACCATCAGGACCATCAGGTAGTGACTGAGGGTTTCCCTTGTCACCCCAAAAAATAAGTGTAAGTCTTTGTTATTAATAAATGTGTGCATATTGTATTATTGTTAGTGATTGAATAATGTTGACAAATATTTTGGATGAATTAATTGGACAGGCATGTATAGTGATTGGAGTGTTCATGATGGTGGCATCAACAGTTGGTGGATTGAGGAATATAGTTGCTGATTCTTCCACCTATGAATTTTATTCATGAACATATATATAATATAAGATGCTTAAATATAATTCATGTAATAATCAAATTAGTAGTAATTCAGTTAAATGTCACTTTTGAACTACATGCAAAAGTTGATGTTAGTTTATAAATCACTGTTTTAAGATCATTATATGTACATGTATTTTCATTACTAGATCATTTGAGTATTTTTTTTTTTTTTTTTTTTCAAGTCGTTTGCTAGCTTTTATATTAGTACTTTGGTTCACTTTTTAAATTTCAATAATTATATTTAATCTTGATTATATTAATTTCAAGTCATAGGCCTAAGAATTGAACCCATAGTCAATCCTAGCAATAACTAGTGGACCTGGTTCACATAGCTGTGTGGATCACGATCCAAAAACGGCATCATTTTGTGTATAAAAAGAAAAATTTCATGCAGCCCGTTGTAACATATATTTTTATAACTCATAATGTATATTATTATAAAGCATAATGTACATTATTCTAACTCATAAAATACATTATCTTATTCCAGAAGTTTCATTATTCTAACACATAATGTATATTATTCTAACTTATAAAATTCAACGACGTTGTTTTGAGCTGCGTGGATCGAATTTGCCGAATCCTAGGCTTCTCAATCATGGTGGATTTACCCCTTTTCTTTTTACATTTTAGACCAAGATCTTTAATTTTACAGAATAACCCCAGAAGGTTTTTTTTTTTTTTTTAAAGGTTGCAAATTATTAGATTCTATATATTGCGCAACAGCATATGCCAATAACCAAGAAAGTAGGATATATATGTTGTGCATGATCTCTCGCCTAAATCTTCATAGTATTATTTATCTGTATATCTTAAACACAGAGGGTATATCAGTACTTATGATGATACTTTTTTTTTTCTTTATACAGTAAAACATAGAATCTTCAAATTATATAATACTTATAATTGACTGATTTATACATACATATATGACAAGGACATGAGAGGGGGGGATCACTAAGGGAGCATTTATGTTTGCATCTTTTGAAGTTTAGAATAGTAATGATTCTTGTTCCAATGCTTGTTTGCTCAATTTTAATACTTTAGAACGGAATTAAATGGTTCGTTTTTTATCTTCCACTCGTCTAAGTTGATAGTTGAACTGTATATTTATGATCCATGACCTTATACATGGAGTTGACTCTGATAACATATTAAAAGATGTATGTATTTCGTCTCAACTAAAAGTCTATAGTTAGACGTACTGCACATTTATGTTTATATATATACTTGTTTTTTACGCGCATTGTGCGATTGGGATAATGCTCAATGCAAGGTAATTCTTCTCCCAAAGGTTGAGTCCCCAACCCCAAGGGCCCCCCACACTCCGACCCGACAGAACATTGTGAGAAGTTGTAAATCACGGTGACTCAATGGTTCAGTAGACAGGGTCAAATGCTGATACGCACAAGGAATCTGCCCACTTTGGACATAATTCCCGCACTGCCGCTGCCGAGGTTCAAACCTTGGTCTCTTCTCCCAAATACTACCCACTAAACCATTGAGCTAAGCACGTGCGGGTTAAATATGTAATTCTAAGTTTACAAATACAAGATAATATAGTCAAGATTGATTATAATTGTCAATAAAATAATTGTATAGGTATGGTTGAAACCAAATACGGGACATAAGGGAAAACAAATAAAAATTAGAGCATAAAATATTAAATATATACTAATATTGTTTGAGGAGATTCCGACATTAGGATTTGTGGTTAAGTTCTATTAAGACTTAGCTTTAATATTAGAATTAGATTAATGGTGTAGTTATAATTCTATATTAGACTTTAATATTAGAATTAGACTAACGGTGAATTAACGGAAAAGTTAAATGGATAATCATATAATTAAGGCTAAATTATAAAATCTTAAAAGAAAAAAATTAAAACCTGAACAATATGAACCATTCATTTGATTTAATAATTTGGCGGTCATTTTTTTTACCCAATGTTAATAATTAAATAAATTCGCTGGTCAAATCCGCTAGTATAATCCGCTAACGCTAACCGCTAACTGCTGATTGTCAAACAAGGACATTGCGAGGTAGTTCTCACTTCAATTTGTTGTGTGATTTGAATACTCTCTTTGTCACAAAATTTCTCAAGTAGTTAATATGGTTGGCTTTATTAATTATATTTTTTTTTAATTTTTTCATGGTATTAATAAAATACTTGGTAAATAAATATATAGCATTATTTTGTATTATAACTTTGATATTTAATTAGAAAAATAGTGCACAAAAAAGATAATAGATAATGTAGTGAATATAATAAATTGATGAATTTGAATGTAAAAATTTTTACATTTGAGAAAAATAAAGACAATATAACTAATGAAAATATTTCTTTTAATTAATTTATTGATAATTAATAAATTTTTTTCACTGAATAAAGACATTGTAAGGATAATGTAGCGAATATAATCAATTAATAAATTTGAATATAAAGAATTTTTATATTGAAGAAAAATAAAGACAATATAAATAATAAAATTATTTCTCTTATTTAATTTATAGATAATGAATAATTTTTTTTTGAATAAAGACATAGTGGACACATAATTCTAAATTAAAGAAATGCATATGTATTATTTTTCGTTGTAACTACTAAATTATTATTTATATAATTTAATAAGAGTAAAATAGAGTACTAATTATGCCAACTTTGATTGGGATGAGGTTCGAACCTAAGACCTTTTTTTTTTTATTAAAATCAATGAGTAAGTTAACAGTGAACTAACGGCAATTCTTAAAATTTTAACGGAATTAGTAACGGTGTGTGGGTATTTTAGGAAATTTTAGTGTAAAATTTAAATCTGATCAATCTTTTAATCAATCTGAGCCATACATTTGATTAAAATCTGTGACCGCCATTTTTTCTACCCATTATAGGCCTAACTCTCTTGGGCTCTTATTAGTATATATATATATATATATATATATATATATATATATATATATATATAATACTCAACATCTTACTCTCTGTGTCTATAGTCATTATTTCTTACAAATTTATTTAGTTTTTACTTAAACCATCATCTCTCAATCGAGATAAAGCAATTAATTAATAAACCTAATATTATTTGAAAGATATTCATAAGGTGACACTTTCATCCTTTCCAAATCCTACCTCCATGAGATGAAAACACGCAATAACATACTCTATTCGTTACACCTACAAATGATGAGAGTAAATTTTATGAACACAAGTAAAATAAAAAATTACTGCACCTATCTTATTTTACCTCTATTTGCTAGTCAAACAAACTTTTATTCCTTGATTTATTTTTCATTAATTAACATTTCATTATAATTTTGACAATCAATTTATGTATTTAATAAAGCAATGTTGCTGATGATGCCAAATATATCATTTTTGTTGTACCAATTAAGTATATATTGTGACTTGTGAGCAATTGAGCATCAATATCATATAATATCATATACGAACAAATATATTATCTTATGTTTTATCTAGTATTATTATCGGTGTCGGAGTCAATTGACACTATAGAAAAATCTATCTATACATAAATATTATTAGCTATATATAGTATTACAAACAATATAATTACATTATAACTAGTTAGACTAAAATCTAATTTATTAAATATACAAATGAGATGTCGAGAAGAGTACAAAATTTTATCTATAATACATCAATGTTATACCAACTACCGTGACAGATAATGTTTGTATTTATTGTGTATCGAACTACTCTGTCGTAGTGTCATACTGAACAAACAGTGGATCTGTAAATGTTTTTTTTTTTTTTTTTCGAAAGAAAAAACAAAACTTTTAGGAATAACGGTTATTTTTTCTTTTGGTACTGTTAACTCTGTTATAATATAATATAATCATAACTACATTCTCAATCTACTGAAGCACAAAGAGTCATATCATGTTCACGGGAGATCAAATTCATGACCTCTCATTTGAAAGAATCACTTCATGCCACTTGACCACAAGGTCATTGGCCCTGATTATTTTCTTCTTGAATTAAACGTTTATATTATTTTTTTCCTGAATTACTCATATATCTACATTTGTCCCCCTCAATCATTTTAAATAAGAATAAAATAGTGGTATATAACAGATGCTAGACCATTATTTACTGCGCACAAGGAGCCCCTCACTTTGAGAGGTTGCTCTCACATTGCTGTTGGTGATACTCGATCCCGGGTCATTGTTTATAAATTTTATCTATATGGTCAATTGAGCTGTTTGTGCAGACCACTTTTATTTCTAATACAAGGAAAAGAGACAAATATTAAAAGCTATGGATTCTAGGTACCATGTATTCTGAGAATATATATAAAGATAAAGGCGATTTCATATGAGTGGGTATGCAAGTTGGGCATCAAAGCAGCCGTAAGTAATACGTTATGGATATATACGGGTTTCTGCTGCTTGCAGATCAGAGCAGCAGCAGAGAGGAGTAAGCGGTGAGGGCACCAAACTCCCTATTAAAGCAAACACCCAATTCAAACACATTGGTAATAGTTTTTTGTTTTTTGTTTTTTTTTTTGTTTTTTGTTTTTGTTTTTTTTTTTTTTTTTTTTGTGAATTTTTGCAAGAAAATAGAAACTAACATGTAGGGAGAAAAAAAAGAAAAACATAAAAGACTAAAAGTTAGGGGGTCATAAGATCTTAAGAGCAACCTCAACCATGTAAGTTTTTTGGTCATTTTTGTAATGTCAAATAGGAAAGGCAAGGGAGAGAGAAGAGGAAATATATATATATATATATATATATATATATATATATATATATATATATATATATATGACAAGAAAAAGTAAAAATAAAATAAAGTCTATTCGCGTGCGCTAGTTGGGCGCGGCATGTGTGATTATTGTGCACTTGTAGCACTTGCTAGACTTTTAATATGTTTTAATGGACCCTACAAAAGTTTTGCATTTGCGGGAATAAAACCAGCAAATAAAACCCAGTCAAGTTTTTGCATAAAAAAAAAATTGTCTATTAGCGATGCTCTAACAAGTCCGCGCTTGGCTTAGCTTGTATGTTTTTTTTAGAGTAAATTTCACTTTTAGTTATTGACTATTGTAGTATTGTTACATTTAGCCCTATTATTTTAATTTTGTCACATTATCATTTGTTTGCCATAATTATTTCTTCTTTAAAAATCTTGTTATTCTACCATTTTATAATCTGATGAATGTATAATTTAATCATTCAATTTTTTAAAAAAAATTATAAAAATGTGAGAAAACTTACATGTTGGGGCAAGAGGAAAATTATATGTTAGTCATATTTATTAAATGATGAAATGATAAAAATTTAAATATATGAATAAGTATAGCAAACAAATAAAAATAAAGTAAAAAATTAAAAGAATAGAACAAAATGTAGCAATATCAAAATAAGATTAAAGAGTAATACATGTTTTTTTTTTTTTTTTTTTTTTTTTTTTTGTAATTACAATCTAACCTATTTGCTCAACACGATTATGCCATCATCCTTGATTGGAATGGACTCGAACCTATGACCTTTCATTTGTATTGATAATAGTGATGTCATTAGACTACAAGGTACTTGGCAATAATAAATAGGGACAGATCCAATATGGGGATAATATGTACAGTCCCCCCCCCCCCCCCCCCCACATCCCCATCCCCCTCATTTATATATAGACCCCTTGTGTATATATCTACATTGAGTAAATGTTTACATATAAGTAAGATAGAAACCATTTCTAATAGATGCATGGGTTAGCATAGATGGTTAAGTACTAATGTACTATACGTATATGATCTAGTAGAGGTCAAATCTATGCACAATCTAAAATGTTTTTTTTTTTTTCAAAATATCTTATTTGTTATAATCTTTCGTTTTTAGTGAGAAAATTTCTGGCTCCAGATAATAAATGATTTTTAAGAAATAGAATTAGTAATATTGAAGATAATTTGCCCCAAATAATTGCGTGGGCAGCACCCACTTGTTACGCAGGATATGTCTCACACTCTCTTTTCATTTGCTTCCTCCCAAAGAAGAAACAAATGAAAAGAGAGTGTGAGACATATCCTGTGTAACCAGCAATGTTGCAAAAATCGCTTATAGGCGGCGGCCGACTGCATAGAAATTTGGTGGAATCGCCGTTCCGCCGAGTAGGTTGCCGTGGACTAGGCGGGGTTTAACTAATTTTTTTTTTTTTAAAAAAAAAAAGAAAAGAAAATGACGCCTAGAGGGCGCCTAGCGATTTTTTCAACCTTGGTAACAAGTGCGTATTGGCAATGTTCTTATATACTTTGTTTCATTTTATGTGTCTGGTTCAGTTAACAAAATTTTACTGGAGTTATTTTAATTCAATTTTTATAATATTAAGTTTATTGTTAGTATATAAAATTTATATATTTAAAAACTACATTAAAATACTATTAAACATGAAAAATAAAATTAAAAAATAATTTTAAAATATTAAAAATAAATGTAAAGAAGAAAGTGTTGGTTTGACCAATATGACAGGTAAAATAGAACAAATGGAGTAATATTTATATTTATTTATAATTATATTGTTTGTTCTCTAGTTGTTGTAATATATTCAAAATTGAAATAATTTTTTTCTCTCAGTAAAATAAGAAGATACAATGAAACTGTTATTTTGGAAAGACATACATCATTTTTTTAAAATTTAGAATGATGATAAAAATTCACCGTCATTATCTGATGATACGTACTATGTAAAATTTATTCATGTGTTATAACCTACAAATTACACTAAAAAGATAAACTGTATTAAAAAGATATTTTGCAACTAACTCAATTTAAAAGACGTTTATAAAATTTAAATTTATAACCTTTTAATACGAAAATTATGTTTCATCCACGGTCACCTATTTAGGCTGTGTTTGGAAACTCGAAAAATTATTTCTGGAAATTATTTTCTTGGTTTTTGGTGTTTGGCTACACTTGAAAAATTCGGTCAACGAAAAACGTTTTTTGTTTACTAGGAAAAATGTGCTCAACTTCCGCCAAATTTGGCAGAAAATGACTTCCGCCAAAATTTGGCGGAAGTCATTTTCCGCCATTGCTATTTCATTTTTTTAAAAAAGTTTCTGGCGGAACTGGTTTCCGGTGGAACCAGTTCCGCCGGAAACCAAAACTATGATTTCTGGCGAAACCCAGTTCCACCGGAAACCATGGCTATGGTTTCGGCGGAACCCAGTTCCGTCGAAAACTAGATTTAAAAAAAAAAATTAAAATATATTTTTTATTCTAAATAAAATATTTAATTATACCATTCTACTCATTTTCTAGAAAATGAACCAAACACACCAAAACAGTTTTCCAAATGCAACCAAACACTAGAAAAGAAAAATAATTTCTGAAAAATGACTTATTTTTCAAAAACTATTTTTCAGAAATTATTTTCCTGCTTTTCAAACGCACCCTTAGAGCTGAGACACATCATTTTACTAGGGGGAGGGGGGATCAGTACTTTATACTGTCTAACTGCACCTGCTTCTGCTTGCTTCCAAGTAAAACCTTTTATTTATTTCTCGTAGTTATTATTCTTACCCTCCCTCCCAATTTCAATGCTCAATTAATTAATACACCAATCCTTACATAAATTATTCATCATGAAATTTTCGGTTACAATAGATAAGTTTTAGTATCTCAAAGTTAGTCAGTCATTTAATTTGGAAAAGGTTCTAAGTCAGGCTCTTTTTAGAAGTTGCCGGTTTTATTGATTTGAGCTGGTTAGCTTTGAGCAGTAAATTATACCATGAACCAAGGTCTATATTATATTGTAAATTTTGGTTTAAAAATAACTTTCAGATTCTGCATCTGCAGTTACTAATTTTTGTATATGTAAACAAATTGAAGATGCATCACATGGTAATTACAAATACATAACATGATAATTACAGACACAAAATGTTAACTTCAGTTACATAATATGTTAATTGCAGACACATAACATATTAATAAACATCTTATGTGTATGCAGTTAACATTTTTGTACCTGCAGTTAACAATTTACGTATCTGTAGTTATCATGTTATGTATCTTCAGTTACCATATTATATATCTTAAATTTATTTATAGGTACATAAATTGTTAACTACATGCACATAATTTGTTAACTGCAGACATATAATTTTTGGACCCGATCCATGGTATAACAATTGACTTTGAGCAACTAAAACTAGTTTACCTTGTGACCTTTGTCAGTTAGGGTAGCAAGATGGGTTTCACGCCTAATCTAATCTCTTTTTTTTTTTTTCTTATTTTATAACCATTGACTTTTGCTAGTTAGGATTATAAGACAAATTCCACTCTAAAGTTGATTTTTTTTCTTATGTCATAGTCATTAATCATTCTAGATAGAAAAATCAAAATAGTGTGATATCTTTCCTAAGAAATGTACTATGTTTTTTAAATATAATATCTTTATCCTTCATGAATTTTCTATTTTCAAAATGAAAAGGGTGTAAGAATTTTGGTAATCTTTTAAGAAGTACCATGTTTTCTTTTTGCTGAATCAATTGAAATGATGAAAATTTATCATTCTTTCCATTTAAAGAAAAACAAAGAAATAAATGAACAATAAATTTTCTCCATAAGAATTATATACTCTGTATATTTAAGTACTGCATGTATGCCATTAATAACCTTCACTTACTTTTGTATATTTTACTGTATACCATTAATAGCATATAGATATAGAATATGTTTTATTACTTTGTCTATTTTATTTTACTTGTAATGAATTTGGAATTAAATTCAAAGAAATTTAGAATTTCTTTTTTTGGATAGCGAAGAAAACTCACAACTACTATTGGAGAAGACTAATGTACCCTCACTTGTTCTTGACCTCAAGAGCTACGCGCATGGATATGCTTCATGACGCGTAATTTCCGCTGCCGGAGAGAAGAGGAGTAACAAGAATCGCATTAGGATTCTCGTTAACACTTAGATAGAGCGGATTCTCTAAATCCTCCGCAACATTGTTCCTCTGCGGAACTAGAATTTGCTGCGTGTTGGCTACAAGAGACACCGGAGGAACTCCGTGGCTAGGCTCACCGATGACTGCGGCGGCGTAGCTTGATCGCCGCTGCTCTGATACCATGATGAACGCAGCGGAGTGAGTAAACTTCACTTTTGTTTAATAGCCCACAAATTAAACTGCACAACCGCAAATAAACTTCTTATTAGGGGTGTATTCATTATTCAATTAAACTATTGTAGATTTTTATAAATGTTTAACATAATATATTTTTTTAAATTTTAAACTTTTATAGGGCATCTTCAAACGTTTTGTAAATTTTGTAATAGTTTATAATAGTCTTATATTACAAATATTCATAGATTTTAAGTGAGACATTTCATCATTTAAATCAATACATGAAGTCATGATAAAATTTTCATATTTATTAATGTTGTATGCGATATGGGTATGTCCTATGTGTGTGGATTTGATGGACTAAAATAACTCGGGTAGTCCGAATCAATTAACCCAATAATAGTAGGAAAAAATAAATGGATAATGATATGGATAATATAAGGAAAAAGATGAAGAGTATGTGTCGCGAAAACAAGATCTGTATTGATAACAGTGTTGCAAGATGATTACAAGTGAATAAATTGATTGGATGATGTCTTTTTATTATTATTATTTTTTTTTTGAATACATTGGATGATGTCTTAACAAGATAATAATGAGTTAATTTATACAAGACTTCATCCTAACCGCCCCATGAGAATAGGGCGGGCTGTTGGACCCTCTTTGACCGCGTACACGCTTGTAGCGCACAAAGCTAAGGCTTTCCCAAGCCTGGGTACGGTCCTTATCCGAGTCGCCCTCACTTCTCCTCGGGTCGATTTGATCTGGGCCCGCCTCTAATATCTCCATCAGAATGGATGATTTTTAGTTTTTAATCCTCAAATCAATTAAAATAGAAAGTCATAGAACTTGTCAATGTTTGGTGACAATAGTTCCCTCTACTTGCCATGACTTTATTCAATTGCTGCATCGCTTCTTCCATCACCTAATGAACCTGCAACATGCAGAAGTTTATCTTATAATATTGCTGCAATTAGAGCATAAACATATAATAAAATATTTCATCTATAATTTTTTTAAAATTTAAACTAAACTAATTAAGTCGAGACTAACTTATTATTATAACTTGTTTTGAGTTTGATCCAAATTCAAGCAACAAACATTCTTATTGAATTATTACAACCCGTTTGATTCGTGAAAGAAAAATATTGAGATGGAATTAAATTAAATTTCATAAAAAATAATTTACTTGAAACATTGATTCCAATTTTTTAAATTTTCATTCTTTGTTCTTTTCATATACAAGTATACGTATTCTCTCTCTCTTTTTTTTTTTTTTTTCCTTTCTTTAATTTTCCATTTCTAAAAAAAAAAAAGAATTTCTCTAATTAATAAATAAGTCATAGTCTCTTATTAGTGGAAAGGAGAAAATATATATTGTACTTTACAAATATTAGTTAAATCTCTCAATGTCAACTTTCTTATAACTTAAGCATTCAAAAATCAAAATAGACAAGATAATTTCTCCCAAATCTCTTTTATGGACATGCAATTAGGCTTTGAAAGTGAAAATTCAGAGAATTATATTATTTATTTATTGCGTATAACTTAAACAATTGATTACATTAAAAGATTTAACTAATATTTTTAAAAATTTTCATTTTTATGATTTTAGATGACAACCTAAATAGTTAATAAGTTTGGATTAAAAAAATAGTCATTTCGAAGATAATAATTAAAGGAGAAAAAGTAAATAAACTTATAATTGAGGAAAAAAATTATATTATTATAATTCAATAAAAGTGTCATTTTCTCTTATATCATTGACTTCTTTAAGAAAACAAATACAATTTTAGCTTCAAAAATAAAAAATAAAAATTTGGACAGATCTCGTCAACAACTCGAAGATTGATTGTAGAATTGGACTCTGAAGCGGTGGTCAAGGTGATGATCCAGAATTACGAGGTTAATGACTTTATCATTACCCTCATTTGTGATTGCAGGTATCTAGCTTTAGGTTTTGATGAGGTAATGTTCACTCATGTGATGAGGGAAGACAATAAATGTATTGATTTCCTTGCAAATCTTGGTAAGGTAAAAGATGCGAATACAACAGTCTTAAAGGCCTCACCCGATAACATCTTGGAGCTCCTTTCAACCAATGCCCGTGGTTGTTAATTATGCACAGGCGGTTTTAATTAAAAAAATTGTCAACATGGAAGGGTACGTAATAATGCAGAGAGAGAAGGCTAGAGTGCTTCCTGCAAATTTAAAAATTTTGCAGAAAAAGTGAGACCCACTCATTGTACTGGCTTCCATCTCTGTTCGCGTGAAGGCTACAAATGGTGCCGCTGGGCGCGTTAATGACAATATTTAATTTTTATTATTTTTTTAAATTAGCATTTGTTTTGTTTTGTTTTGTTTTTTTTTTTACTTTTCTATCATTTTCTCTTTCCTAATCACACTCACAAAAACTCTTCAAAACTTACACTAAAATTTCTACTATTGAGAATGCCCTTAAGTTAATACCCGCTTTTGAGGGACAGTTTCACCCTTTCCTAAAAAAAAAAAGAAAAAAAAACACTGAGAATGGCAAAAACAAAATGAAACTAAAAATAAAAAAGCGAGAAAAATTAAAAATGACAAGACTGAAGGTGAAAATGGTACAGAATGATTGGAATTAAGATGAAAATTGTGCTTTGAGTCTGACTAGAACCCCATCAATCACTGTGTCCAAAGGCTGTCAAATCTTGATTTACCGAAGGAAGTTTTACCGAAGATTTCTATTACTTTTACTTCCAAATCTTACTCCTTTAATTTTACTCATGATGTGACAGATTTTGATAAATTATTTTTTTTATGTGAACCCAAATATAAGTATACACATCAAGATTTTGTGTTAAAATAAAATTTGAGAATATAAAATAAGAGTATATGTAATATTTTTCAGATAAAGAATCGAGGAAGATTTTTGTTTGAAGAATCTAGTTTTTAATATTTATATTTACTAGAAAACCTATACTAGGATTGCGATAATGATGGAGATGATGTTCCAACCAGACGTGTCAAATATCACCATGTCTCCAAATCTTTGACAGAGAGCCAATGGACTGATAGACAGATAATTCTATAGAGTGACAAAAAACCAAGGGAGAATCAGAGATTTAAAAATAAAAATAAAAAATAGTATACCGTATTTTCTTTGTCTTATACGGAGTATATTTTATGATCTTGTTTTGTAAATGATGTTTTTAATATAAATTTTAAATATGTTGGCCCCAAAAGGTTGATTATCCAATTTTATTTGATTTATTTCATTCTTAATTCTTGTTATTGATTCACAACCAATCATGTGATTTGAACTTCTCATTATTGTTGAATAGGTAGAAAGAAATCAAAATAGTGATTGAGAGATGAATTAACTTTAAGACCGATTAATATGTGATAAAAGTATACTTATGACTTATGAGTAATAACAATTAAAAAATTAAAATTGTTTTGTACTTTTGAATACCTAATTTCAATGAACTCTGTTAATATTTAGTTAACATGTTTAGAGCAATCACAATTGTGGTTTCTTCTATAGTTTTTTCAGACAAAAAATTATGTATTTAGTTTTTTCATGAGTTTTCCTCCTATACAAGTGTAGTTTTTGTGAGACCCAATTATTGTGCTTAAAATACTAATAGAGACGGCAATTGCACGTGTTGCGCCCAGCTGGTGGTGAAGTGTTGAGCGCGTGAAAAGCAGAATATATGTTTTTTTTTTCTCTCTCCCGTTTTCTCTTTAATTTCCTTGTCATTCCAGCAAAAACTCTTTAAAAACACTAATTAATGAGCTTGGTCTTATAACTATGGGTGTTTATTCATAAATAACTGAACTGAATTTGTAAAATGTTATACTTGTTTACCAAATCAAACTGCTTATTTCTAAATCAATTGAACCAGATTGTTTTTGATTAATTGATCAGTTAATTTATTATATTTTATGATAAATTTTTATTAATTAATATTATCTCCTTACTTTATTTTTTTTTCCACTTTTGGTCCCATGACTATTTGATCATTTCTACATTTGATCTCTGATTATTAATTTTTTCATATTTATTCAAACAACTTTTAAAATTTTGTCACATCTGATCCTCTTGCATAATGTATGGTCACATGCGACCAATTTCGTGTTTATATGTTATTGAACATGAGTGCATAATAGTCAACTGACTTATATGTATGGACAAAGTTGACATTTTTTATGACTTTTTGAACTAAATTTTTTTTATTACCAGTAACCAAAAATTACATTGTAGGACCAACTGTGGTAATATATTAACAGTTGTGGAACTAAATCTAGACAAATTAATAATCAGGAGCCAAATGTGAAAACGATCTAATAATTGTGAGACGAGAAATGTAAAAACTTACTGTAATTCCATTGCAAATTATCATATGATAGATTAAAAACATCACTTCAATCTTTAACTTGAAAAAGAAAAAGTAAAAGTAATGAAGTTAATAATTGAAAGACTAAATCTACTACACCATTATTATTATCATCATCAGCATCATCATCATTATTATTATTATTATTATTATTATTATTATTATTATTATTATTATTATTATTTGATAGAAATTTTTGGGGGTGTTTGGTTATTGGCTAATTAGCCAAATTTTAGCTGATTTGATCATATTTAGATGTTTGGCACACCAATAAGCTGTTTTGAAGTGTTTGGTAAATGACTGATTGGGCCAATAAGCTAAAAATTGAAAAGCTAATGGATGTAGATTTTTTTATTAGCGGGTTGGAATCAATGATATATTAACTATTTTATCCTTTGGAATCAATGTGATTTTCTTTTAAATGGGTGGTAAGTTTGCTATTTTATAATAATAATAAAAAACGGGTGGTGGGTTTGTCATTTAATAATAATAATAATAATAATAATAATAATAATAATAATAATAAACGGGTGGGTTAAGACATTTGACAATAATAATAATAATAATAATAATAATAATAATAATAATAATAATAATAATAATAATAATAATAATAATAATAATAATAATAATAATAGTAAATCATTTTAAATTATTATAATTGAAAATGAATAATAAAAAATATAATTTTATAAGAGTTAAATAAACAAAAATATAAGAATGATTGTGAAGTAATGTCAAACCATTGCTCGTGACATTGGGAACATCTTAGTTCGCCATATATGTTAAGAGGTCAGCGAACAACATAACGTAGCTCATGTGCTAGCACGGGTAATAGGGTCTTCTACTGTCCTAGGGGTGTGGGAATCCATCCCGCCCAGCTGTATTGCAAGTTTGGTTTAATCTACTTTTGTGTTTTGGTGATCAAAAAATAAACAAAAATAATTAACTTATATCCTAAAAAAAGTATAGATGATACTCAAATTTTAGAATTATTTATTAATAAGAGTTTATCATCTTATTATATTTAAAGGTTAAAATAATACTTTTTTTTTTTGAAAGCAAAGGTTAAAATAATACAATATACTCATACTCTTAAGTGTCATTTTACATTCAATCAATTACTAGTAAACAACTAATTTACCAAACAGTTTTTTTCTAACTAGTTAATACAACAACTTATCAAAGCAGCTAACACAATTAGTCATCAACAACTAACTAAATCAATCAGCTATCAGCCAGCCGTTTGTCAACACCTCTTTATCTTGTGAATCTCAAAGAAATTTGTGGATATTATATATTTGGGAGGGAAAATACTTGATGTACTCCCATTTAAAACTCCCAACTTGTGCTCCCTCTCACATGCTCTTGATGTAGACATTTTTCTGTGGATCCACATGATGAAGATAACCAATCCTAAATTGTCACCTCAGGGAGTATAAATGAGGGAGTAGAATTTTGGGAGTCTTTGGAGAGTTGGGAATACATGAAGTGATTTTTGAGGATGATACAAGGTAAAAAAAGGAGCATCTCTTTACTGACTCCTATAACCCAGAGTAGTCCCATACTATGAAAGCTATGAAAAGAACCAAGGATAAAGCTTTTGCAATTTTACCCTCGAAAACTGAACCCAATTTACCTGTTCACGTCAATTTCAGCTAGCACGTGCATGCTTCATGCTTCCCCCCGTTGTGGTTGCGCATGAGTTGCACGCGCCGCCGCAATGGTACGATGTACAAGTAGTTATCGATCGGAAGGTTAAAATGCCCAAGAAGGAAAATACGGATTTATAGTTTAATTAAAAAATTTAATTCAAGTTATTTAAAATTTAATTTTTACATTACTTGGTTTAAAATTAATGTAAGAAATTTATATATTTAGCATTAAAATGTTAAATTTTAAATTCAAAAATAAAAAGAGAAAAGGGTCAAATAGACCCATAAACTTTACCCTAAAGGTCAATTAGCCCCCTAAACTTTAAAAAAGGTCAATTAAAAAAGGTCAATCAAACATGTTAACTTTGATCAATGAAGCCCAAAAACCGGTAAATGACCTGTTATTACAGGTCATTTTAATTCCGACGACGAAATCCGGCCACCGGTGACAGATCCCGACGATTGACGAGATTTTCCGGCCGTCTTCCACTGGAGAAGACGACCAGACGGCAATGGAGAAGGCGGCCGTCTGCTGCCTTCTCCAGTGGAGAAGACGATCAGATCTGGTCCTCTTCTCCAATGGAGAAGACGGCAGACACTTCTCCATTGGAGAAGTCGACCGTCCGAAAAATCTCGCCGGCCGCCGGAAAAATTCGCCGGTTGCCGGAATCTGTTACCGGTGGCCGGATTTCGTCGCCGGAATTAAAATGACTTGTAATAACAGGTCATTTACCGGTTTTTGGACTTTATTGACCAAATTTAATATGTTTGAGTGTTTAATTGACCTTTTTTAAAATTTAGGGGGCTAATTGACCTTTAGAGTAATGTTTAGGGGCTTATTTGACACTTTTCTCAAATAAAAATATTAAAGAAAATTTTTTAACTGGTAAATAATAAATGAAAATGAAAAAACGAAAATGGGGAGAATTGGAAACAATTTTTTTTTTTTCTGAGAAAAAGAAAAAGGGTCAAAGATTAAGGACATCCTATAACATTGGAAGGATATATGGAGAAGAGTCCAAAAGAAATAAAGAAAAGAAAAACATAATAAATAATTATGCGTCTGACAGTTGTATAATTAACGAGAAGTACCCGTTCTGAAACGCCATCTATCAACCCTCTGTTGGGGAAGATATCTTCAAGATTTACACTCCAAAACCCAAACCTTTTTTTTTTTAATTAATTTTTTTTTTCTGGATTCCTTTTTAACCTTTCTTCTTCTTCTCACCACCTTTTGGAGGTCACTTTTACCAGGAATATATGCACCGAAGAGAGAGAGAGAGAGAATACTGAAATGCAGAGCTTCAAAGCTTCTGTAATTCCCCCTGTTTCTCTCCCCAACTCCTCAGACATGTATTGCAACTCTGCTTTTTACCTCAGGTTTCTCTTCGTATTCCTTTCTCTAGCTGCTTCAATTCTCCAAGGTTTTGCATGTCTTTTTGGGTGTTTTTTTAGAGAATATATATGTTGTCTGTCTGTCTGTGTGTTTTGATGTACTGAAAATAATTTGTATCTTCTGCGTTGTTAGATATGTCCAAATATATTATATGCAAAAGTTAAAAAGGATAGAGTTCAGGGCTAGCTTAGCTTGTGCATGGTGGAGATAGAATTGGGTCTAACTTTGAGGTTTTAATTTCCCTGTAATGGGTGTTTTTTGTAGAGGTGACGAAGGTGGTAGAAATGGTGGCGGGCGTTTCTTGGATATAGGCGAACTTGACAACTCTGCTCCCTTTCATCAAGAAGATGCTGTTGATTTAACCAGAAGTATTCTCTCTCTATATATATATATATATATGTGTGTGTGTGTGTGTGTGTGTGTGTGTGTGTGTGGAGCCTTAAATTTGAAATCTTTGATGCATCCCTGCAGGCTCAATTTATAATGAAATGAGACTAAGCAATGCCTCCATTGTTTCTCCTAATAGCTTACACTTTGCTGATATCAACACGGTACATTTTTCTAAATCTCTCTCTCTATATATATATGTGTGTGTGTGTAACTGTGTATATGTGCATGGTTTGGTGTGGAATAATGAGTGGTGAAGAATGCAGAGCATTGGGTCAACGGAAATGGGATCATCGGAAACAGGGGTGGATGCGGGGAGGTTTATGATGCAGAGAGGCGGCGCCACCGCACTGATGGGTGGCAGAGTTTTAGGTGGTGGTGGCGGTGGCGGTTTGGGAAATGGGAGTTTTGAGAACTGGGGAGAGTCTGGTGGCACGGCAGAGCACAGCCAGCAGACTGACACCTCCACAGATGTCGATACTGAAGAGAAAATTCAGGTTTTCACTTTTTTTTTTTTTTTTTGCAAGTTATCCTAAGGAAAGTTCTGTATTTTGCTAATATAATCTGTAATTTTCATGTGATTTTAGAGCCTTGGAGTCCAGCATGGTTCTGTACTAGTTGTGGATTCAATGGAGCAGTCAAAAGGGGGGAGACTTGGGGAGCCAAAGGTAGTATCTGACTCGAATTTTATACCAGAAGTCAATTAGTCGGTTGAACTTTTAAAAGTTGTAACTGAACCTATCAGCTAGTGATTTTCATGCATTCAGACCCAATACCTTCCAATTTTTCGTGTAGCGGACCTTTTTTTTGAGAAGGCTATGGGCGACCGACGAACGGTGGCTTGTTTTGTCCCCGGAGGTTGCCGAACTCTAACAACCTGCTATTATATTTCATTAACTGGCTTTTGGGTTTGGATGCACTAAAATGACATGTTGATGTATTTAATTGCAACTTTTAAAAGTTTAGGGATTTAATTGGACTTCTCATATAAAGTTTGGGAGTGTATTTTGACCCTTTTTCCTACTTTCATTGCATAATAAAAGCTAAACCAAAAACCAACATGGTTGGCGCGGTGGTTCAGCACCTCGTCCCTTGAGGTTGGGGGTTCCCTACCACTTAGTATGCTGACAGTAGGGACAGGGGATTAGTCTTCTGACTATTGGCTAATGATTTTGTGTTGCATTTTTTCTACAGACACTTCGTAGACTAGCCCAGAACAGAGAAGCAGCACGCAAGAGCCGGTTGAGGAAGAAAGTACTACATTATAATTCAATATGCAATATATATATATTATGTTCTGTTCATAAAATCTTTGTGCTTTTAAAACCATACCACCTTGGTATCCTAATGCCCAGATTGATCTTTTTTGCTTCATCCCAAAAACGTACAAAATGAGAGAAGCGTTTTTAGCTATTAATTAAAGGGTAATATTTGGGGCAAAGTGCTGTGTGTTTGTGTATGTTCTTGATGTGCAGAATGTTTTTGTCTTGAAAACCTTATTAAATCAGTAGATGTCTAGCTAGCTGGCTTAGGAAATTGTATCATCATTTGATGCTTAAGGACAAATTTTGTCTTTTGCCTTATCTTTAAGCTTAGATATAGCAAATATATATCAAGAATGAGTATAAAAAAAAAAAGGAATGAATCTCGTCTCATAGCTCCTGTTTTTGGAATTGTAAACCATGCAACTTGTGCATTGTGAATTAGATATTGCAGATATTTATGCAGTCTTAGTGTGAATTATGATTCATTGAAATTGGAATAATAAGCTGATATTATTGTCCCTTTTGTGCATTTCTTTATAGACGTATAATTTGCGTGTGGAATATATGTTGGTAAGTTACGGGTTTATGTTTTTCGATAGGCGTATGTTCAACAGCTCGAGACTAGTAGGCTCAGGCTTACACAACTAGAGCAGGAACTTAAACAAGCCCGCCAACAGGTGCTATTCTGCCTCCCGACTCCCTTTTATGGTTCCCGATCATACCTTATATGCGTTTTACTTGTCACGTTCTGTAGCCTAATAGAATTTGTACACATCTTAATGGTATCATGTTCTAAATAATCACTTGGATATAGGGAGCATTTGTTGCAAACGGGTTCGTTGGAGACAAGAGCCCTTCGACAACTATTGGAAATGGTTAGCAAATTCCTAATCTTTTTTTGGTACTATAGTTCAGACACAATTGTGGGAAAACATTATAAATGTCTTGAGTTGTGTTATCTGTTGCTCATTCCAACGGTTTTTAGCTCGAGTAGAGTTGAATTGGTTAATAATACTTTGTTAGGGGCATTGGCATTCGACATGGAATATGCACGCTGGCTCGAAGAGCATCAACGTCTTACCAACGACTTGAGATCAGCTGTGAATTGTTTGGTGGGAGATAACGAGCTCCGCCTTCTTGTCGATGGAGTGATGTCCCATTACGACGAAATATTTAGGCTGAAGAGCATGGGTGCAAAGTCGGACGTGTTTCACATGTTGTCGGGGATGTGGCTAACCCCAGCAGAGAGATGTTTTATGTGGCTAGGCGGGTTCCGGTCCTCTGAGCTCCTTAAAATACTAGGAAACCACTTGGAACCTTTGACAGAACAGCAGTTAGTGGGCATATGCAACTTGCAGCAGTCTTCCCAGCAGGCCGAGGACGCGCTGTCGCAAGGGATGGAGGCGTTGCAGCAGCTGCTCGTCGAGACGCTGTCGTCCACCTCCCTCGGGCCTAATGGCTCGGGCAATGTGACGGACTACATGGGGCAGATGGCGATCGCCATGGGGAAGCTAGCCACTATCGAAAACTTCCTTCATCAGGTAAAAAAATATACACTGATTGTTGGATATAGAATAATCTAACTATACTGAACAATAGTATACGAGAGATCTGACCTCGTAAACACTGATGATAACACATTACATTCTTAGGCTGATTTGCTGAGGCAGCAGACATTGCACCAACTGCATAGAATCTTGACGACTCGTCAAGCTGCTCGGGCCCTCCTTGCCATCAACGATTACATGTCGAGGCTTCGGGCTCTCAGCTCGCTATGGTTAGCTCGTCCCAGAGATTGCTGATCGAGGAGATGATAGTTTGAACACCCGCAATAGTACTACTATATAAGATATTTTGGTGTTTTAAACCTTTAATTTGTCAATCTTTTTTCTTTAATTTGGTCTGTAGTGTAAATTAACAACTCTTATTCACTCTCTAGATGCATGTTGGGTTTTTATTTTTAACTACATTTTTTTTTTTTATTATTAAATCTCCAGTTACAAACATGTGTAATAATGACGAAATAATTAATTGTAAAATTATAAGAAAAAAGGATAATAGAAGTAATCAATTATATATTATGATTAAAGAATTTTGTACGTTATGTAACTAAAATGTACAAGTTAATACGGAGTACATTTAACAAACCTAGAAGAGAATAATGCATTTGATAATAAGACAAAAATAAAAAATAAAAAAAATGAAATAAGGCAGAGAAAATCAGAGACATGCATGCACTATACGTAGGTTGTTAAAACAACTCCGGAGGCATTGTCGGTTTCTTTGTCTATCCCAGTTGGCAGTATAGGTTTTTTTTTTTTTTTTTTTTTTTTTTTTTCTTCTTTAGTGAAGAGAAACTCGTAACTATTACTTGAGAGTGTGCATAATTAATTATACATATCAGGACTATGTGGTTTAATGGTACCCGGGTTGGACTTCCACTTGGAAGGTTGTAAGTTCGAGTCTGTCTCAGTGGAGGCGTTATTGATTCTTTGTGTTAAGTATATGAACAGATACTATAATGTAATAGAACCAGTAGCATTCAAAAAAAAAAATAAAGTTAATTGCATTAAAGAAATTTTATGCAATGAATTCAATTGAGAGGATATTAAGAAAAATATGTAATTTTTTAGTACAAAAATTATACTTTAGGGACTTGTCGTCTCTTTGAATGCAATATGTGCAATATCTTAAAATAATAATGTGAATAAGGGAATCGCATTTTTAAGATTATCTCAACAGGAAAAACTTAAATTCGTAAAAAAAAAAAAAAAAAAAAAAAAAAACCTCCAAGAGATGATCACGTACTGCACGTGATATTAGTGGAAAGATGAGGATCCATCCTCTCTGAATGCCTGTGCAGTTTCAGTTTCATAAATGGCTTTGTATGCACTTTGAACAGCAAGAACTCAATTATAATTTCATATATTATTATACTTGTAATTTATTATATTTTATTATAATATTGTAAATGTAATTAGTTTTAATTTTTAATTTATTATGATGATATTATAATATTCTTACTTTTATTGCTTATTGATGGTTGATGGGGACATGGGATCCCGAGGGTCTATTTTATTGAGAAAGTTTGGTCCAATCGTGTGGTGTTCATCTTTATGGGTGAGATGTTGGCCCAATAAAAATAATGAAAATCTATTGACAAATTATATCGTGCACCTTGATGCACAATGCATTGTATGCCCTAGCCCAAATCGATATCGTGTTGTACCTTTTTTTTTTTTTTTTTTTTACTGTTATAGTGGCCCTGGCCCAAAATGATATTATAATATTCTTACTGTTATATTGCTTATTATTATAGAATTTATTTGATTACTAGTATTTTATATATGAGATGCGCAAAAATATGTCTTATACTAAGTTATTTTTTTAAAAAATAATTATATATATATATATATATATATATATATATATATATATATACGCAAAAATATGTCTTATACTAAGTTATTTTTTAGAAAAATAATTATATATATATATATTATGTTATAAGAATTGTACTATACAATTTTTTGGACTATTTTCTTGAAGGCGTTAGCAAAATGGTCTCTGATATACATTCAAGTCTTTTCGATGGGGTTGACAGAAATTATGGGAAGATCCAGGAATTAGAATCCATTGTTATGAATGCTCTCTTGAAAACATGAATGTAATCAATGTTAATTTTTCCTAATAATATATATTATATATTATATATTAAGACTTTAATTAAGTGATACCAGTTAGCTTATTAAGTTTAATAATTTGGTTGGAGTGAATAATGTCTTGTTTTCAAAGCTATCATGTTCTCAAGGTCAAATGAGTGGCAGGATTTTGTTGGAATTCCTTGATAGATATGTCAATGGAGAGAATCTAGGAGGATTAATGAAGTCAAAGGCTAATCTGCTTGTTCCATTGAATGGACAAATTGGGATTCTATAAGAGAAGCTAAGGTTATCGGCAAATTATGCTATGCGCACGTGCGCACCTTGCAAGGTGTGCACGGCGCTAAAACGGCGTCGTTTTTTGTGAAAACGACGCTGTTTTAACTAAAAACAAAAAATTTGTTCGAAACGCCGTTAACGGCATATTCGTTATGAAATTATGAATATACAGTTATGACATTATGAATGTACAGTTATAGAATTATGAATGTATAGTTATGGAATGAGTTAATACCCAAAATGGTCCCTTGACTATGCCATAATTACCAATTTGATCCTCAACTACCATTCTTACCCAATTAAGTCCTCAACTATGTAACTTTTACTCAATTAAGTCATCAACTATACAATTCTTACCCAATTTAGTCCTCAACTATATAATTCTTACCCAATTTAGTCATCTGTATTAATTTGACTGTTTGTTGACTGTCAAAAGTCGGGATAAAATTATAATTTTACAAGATTTCTCCTTCCTCTCCATTTAGCAGCGCCAAACCATGCAGCAATACACTCCGATCAGATTTCGATCGTCAAAAAATCGTTGGAAATCAAATTCATGGGCTATCCGATGCATAACCACTACTTCGATACTGACAGGTTTAGAACCCAACCGGAGCTTATTGCTACATGGTTTGGCGCTGCTAAATGAGGAGGAAGGAGAAAACTTGTAAAATTACAACTTTATTTCCACTTTTGACAGTCAACAAACAGTCAAATTGACAAAGGACTAAATTGGGTAAAAATTGTATAGTTGAGGACTTAATTGGGTAAGAATGATAGTCGAGGACCAAATTGGTAATTACGACATAGTCGAGGGACTATTTTGGGTATTAACTCTTATGGAATTATGAACTTACAATTATGAACATAGAGCTTCGAAAATTATGAATGTTCGGTATGGAATTATGAATATACAGTATGGAATTATGAATGTACAGTTATGGAATTATGAATGTACAGTTATGAAATTATGAACATAGAACTCTGACATTATGAACTTATAATTATGAACATAGAGATTCGGAAATTATGAATTTACAGTTATTGAATTATGAATGTACAGTTACGGAATTATGAATGTACAGTTATAGAATTATGAATGTACAGTTATGGAATTATGAATGTACAGTTATGGAATTATGAATGTACAGTTATAAAATTATGAACACAAAGCTGTGAATATATGCTCCTATAACGAAGCGGTTTGAAATTAAATTAAAAAAAAAAAAAAAAAAGAGGGAAGATAACGGTGCCTGACGGCACCGTTATCCGTGCCCATGAAGCACGCTGGGCACGAGCCCACAGCATAACTATCCAAGGTTATCGGGAAAAACTCGGATATAACTTGAATTGAGATTATTTATTATGTATTTATAGATGTGCATTAGTTTATGGTAATTATTATGTGTCATGTGTGATAATAAATATTTAAAATAGTTAGTTTATGAAAAATATTTTAAATAAAAGTATATTTTGATAAATCATCTGGCCAAGAGGGTCTAAAATTTTTTATTGTATATTAGGTTACTATATATGAATTAATCTAAAAGAAGCTAAACACTTTGTGCTCAGATGACACTTCTTTGATTCCCCTTGAAGGAAGGTCACATGATCAAGAGAAAGTATAGAACACAGTACATATATTGTTTACACCACTAATAATTAACAGTACAACGCGAGGGGTAATATTATGGGAGACATAATTACTACGGGAGAAGCAATATATGTACGGTTTTAAAAATTGAGGAGTAACATTTACATCATTAATAATTTAGGAGTAACATTGAAAATTGACATATCATGAGAGATATAATTACAATTTTCTCTTTTAAAAAAATTATTACCCGCATGAGCAACTCGGTTGGTCGAGGTGAAGTTTGGGAAAAATAATTTTTTTTTTTTTTTTTATCTATAAATATCATATTAGTAACAAAACTGATGTACCGTTAAAAATACATTTCATATTTTGTATTCTAAATATTTTATTCACATATTTTATATTTTGTCACGAACAATTTTTACCACGTTTCAAAGAGTTTTAATTTTTTGTCCTGCCTCAGACAGCTAGTACAGGTAATTAAGTAAAGATGGTGAAGGTTGTTGACAATATTATGAAGCCATCATTAAGGAAGGTGTATGGGTAGTTTCTGAGAAATCCAAGATTGTGAACAAGGATGAAGAAAAAAAGGATTTTCTGCAGATCATCTTAGAGCTGAAGAATGGTGATGGTGAGTATGAATCAAAATGTATAATGTCAGTATGGAGTAAAAAAAAATTGAGTAAAATATGATAGTATTTCTCTCTCTCTCTCTCTTAAATATATATATATATATATATATATATATATATATATATATATATATATATATATATATATATATATATATATATATATATATATATATATATATATATATGTATGTATGTATAGGTTTCTGCTGGTTGCAGAGCAGCAGAATGCTTACAGGGAGGAGTAATGGTATACGTAGATGCCATTACTTTGGTCTTTGTAAATTGTTGTTAGCTGATAGCACTTAGCTGATTGGGTTAGTGACTTTGATTTGTTGATAACATTAGTTGATTGTAGAAAAATTGATAACATTAGTTGATTGTAGAAAAATGTTTGGTAAATTAGCTGATAACTGATTATATACAAAATGACTTTCTCAAAAAGCATATCGAAAAAGCTGTTTTGATCAGTTATTTGAATTTTAGCATTTTGGAACGATAAACTGTTACAAAAAATTAATTAATCAAACAATCATATTGACGGTTTAATCAAGTCAAACAACTAATAGTGATCAAGCAAGCCAAAATTGACTGATAAGCTAACTATGTTACCGAACATGGTTTTTGCATATTTAAGTAGTGTATGCCATTGATAACCTTTGAGTATAACTATATGCTTCATTACTTTGTGTATTTTACTTGTTGTAATGAATTTGGAAGTCAAAGTAACTTAGCTTAATTCACTTATTTTCTGAAGTGTCTGGGTGGTGCATGCAGTAAAGGTGGTTGATGAATTGCCTCAGAAGAAACAAGGGGGATATGGGGATTGGGGAGAAGGCCAGTGTCGAATGTGTTTTCACCTTGAGTTGGCTGCAGGCTATAGGGGACCAAATGGATCTTTCAGTTCAGTTGAGAGATCAAATTCAGACCCTCAGGTTGCAGCTCCAGCTCCTGAACAACATTCTCATGTGCACTGAGCATTGCTCTGAGGATTTGGAGCTGAACTATTTCCTGGAAGATGTTGGCGAAGTGGTCTCTGATATACATTCAAGTCTTTTCAATATAAGTTATGGGAAGATCCAGGAATTTGACTCCATTGTTATGAATGCTCTTGAAAACATGAATGTAATCAAGACAGACATTGTACTGATACATGTCTTGTTTTCGAAGCTATCATGCTCTCGAGGTCAAATGAGTGACGGGATTTTGTTGGAATTCCTTGAGATGTCAACGGAGAATCTTAAAGGATTAATGAAGTCAAAGGCTGATCTGCTTGCTCCATTGAAGCAACAAATTGAGATTCTGGAAAAGAAGTTAAGGTTATTGAGAAATTTTTTTCACTTTGCTAGAAATGGGTATATTGAACATGAGAACTTGGGTCATCTAGCTACTGTTATTGGAGCTGTGGTTTATAAGCTGGGATGCCTGGGTGCCTTGTATTGGATTGATGAAATGGATGATGACATGGCAAGCAGATTGAGGCTCAAGCTTTGTCAATTGCTACAGAAGATTGAGCTTGTTATGCCAGAAGTCAAATTGATTCTTATTAAGTTCCAGAAAGCTTCCATGTTATTGCAATCCAACAAGACTACAGTAACCGATAAGCTTCTCTGGGATTTTGTTTACTTTATTATTGAAAATCTGAAGGAGTTCATAAAGGGGATGGAGGTTTCGGATGATCAAGTTGAATCTCTTTATGTGGAGTTTGGATTGCTGAGGACTTCTCTCATTAATCAACAGCGCTTGGTGAAGAAGCTACTGTCAGAGTCATATAGAGTTTACATCCGCTCAAACTGTGCAATAAAAATGGTAGACCTCTTGACACGTACCGAAGCTGTGTCCAAAGAAGCAGCCACCATAATGAACTCTTTTGGCATACATGATACCAGTGATGAAGACAGGGCCCTAGGAATAAATTTTTCATGCTTTGATTTGCTCGAAAAGTTTATTTCTTTCCGTGCAGAGGTATGGTGAACCGATAAAATTTTGTTTCTTTATTTTAATTTTTAACCAATAAAAAGAAGATAACATGGTAAACCAGAATGATGCATATCTGCAATATGAGAATCAACTTTCACAGTTAAAATGTGTATTTTAAGATCAATGGCTGAAAGATAGAGATTTAAGCTGCTGGCTTCCATCCCTAGACCACTACTAAGGTCTAAGAAGCCTCAAGTTGAATTTCCTCCACAAAAATATTCACTCCTGTAATTTTTTTACTTGCAGGGCATGCAAGATTTGCAATCTCATATTATGAAGCAGAGAGAGAATTCTCAACCTCCTAAATATGACCCCTTGAACTGCCTGGAATGTCAAGAGAAACACAAGGGCTTGTCTGCCGAGTTGAAGGATGCAATCCAGAGACTGAAGATGAAGTTTGGATATCTACAATTAATTCTGAGGCGGTGGAGTGGTGAAGATTGTGATTTTGGGATTATCACTGAAGTGATTAAAGCTACGAGTCCATACTGTCACAAGGCTTGTGTTGCAATCAAGTATGGAAAATTGGACAGTGCTTTGTTAAACTTGACATCTGTGCTGAGTTATGTCAATAATAATGAAGAGCTTCGACTAAGGGTAAAGGAGGCTAAAAATCGTTTTCAAGTTAGTTCATCCTCTTCTGTTATGACCATGCCTGTTCAACTTGCGGGGGATTTTGTTGATTTTCTTATAAAAAATGTTGTGTATCTGCTGCACTACAACTTGTATTTTATTTCTTCTGCTAAGAAAAAAATGGAGGTTTTTGAAGCGAAGCTAAGATTTTTGAGAGGTTTCCTCAACTTCACATCCAAATGGTGCATTGAAAGTGAAAAGTTGAAAAAACTTTTAACTCGCATTGGAACTATGGCTGACAATGCAGCACATCTCTCTTACTGGTGCTTTGATGATGAAGTGAAGGAGCAGATGGCCGACGAAGTGAAACTTATAACTTCTTATCTGTTGGAAATGATTTTTCCTATTGATGTTGAAGTGAGGGAGATTTATCCCCAAGTTTTGAAGGCTTCAGAGTCATCACTACCCGAAACTCCCACTAGGGCTGAGCTTGTTGTGGCTTTTGTTGATTCTCTCATGGCAAATTTGATGGATCTGCACAATGGTAAGGTTTGTGGGATGATTCCTAGATGGGAATCATGGCAAATTCAGACCCTCTGCCAGGGCCTTGGGTTTCTGAAAGCAATGATAAAAGATCTATCAGACCAGTGTGTTGAGCACAACACTTTGAATAATTTATTGATGTATATTGAAACTGAAGTAAGCAAGATAAGGCCTGGCACAATGAAAATGAATGTTGGGGTTCTCAATTTTCTGGTAGTAATTAAGCTGATTAAAACAGATATCTATCTGAAGGACGTAGAGAGCTCTAAGACTATTTTGACAGTTTCTCTTAAGGAAGAAACTTCAACAATGAGCAAAGAGCTAAAATCCCTCATAACTGACGTATTAGGTTTGGAGGATTACTACGCCAATCTGGACAAGTTGAATGATTACCTGAGACATATTGAAGCTGTGGGAGACCAACTGCAATCAGTGAGGTATCTGTTCTGTATGCAAAATGTGAATGAAGATACAGACAGAATGATGCATTTTGCTATGTTCGAATTTCGGGTCAAGATCAGGACTATCAAGGCAGAGGTCAGTTTGGTGAAGCTTCTAGACAAGATACCTGTTCCAGTGAAGGACAAAATTGAAACCCTTCAAGAAGAGCTACAATTCCTAGTAAATCATCTAGGTCAGTATTCTGAGCCTGAGAAATTGAATGATCTGTTGATAGGCATTGATGATATAGTCACGCAGACAGGAACTACAATTGATTCATTCAACTTAAATGAGAGCAACAAAGAGATTGCTAGCAAAGTGAATATTGGGATTTCTGGTTTGCTGGAAAAGATAGAGCTACTCAAGAAAAACAGTCAACAGATCTGTCACAGATTTCCAGATTTAAGAAGAACTTATGTTCCCAGGACTGCGGTGCTATGCTTTATTGATTATCTCATAGAAAAACTTAAGCAGTTCCTGGACTGCAAGGGCAATGTCATTTCCCAATTAAAGAATCAAATTGAGAGAGTGCAAGGGGAGCTAATGTCAGTGAGATACTTAATAGGAGAAGTGGCACAGGGGAGTTATGAACATGAAGAATTGAAGGATCTTTTTACACGTTCACTATATGTTGCATATGAGGTAGAATATGTGGTTGGCTTGAGTTCCAGTGGCATTGGGGACACATTTTTGTATCATAGGTTACGTAATGCCACAAATGAGATTATACTTGCTAAGACTAAGTTCAAGGAGATCTATGAAAAGAAGAATGGGGTCTCATCAAACAGTTTCATAATAACGGATAAAATTCAAGGTGCTTCAAATGTTAACAGTGGAATAGTTGATGATGTAGTTGTAGGTTTCGAGGATGTGGTGGATACCATTCTGGAGAAACTTGTTCGAGGATCATCTCAGCGAGATGTAATCTCTATTGTTGGCATGACTGGAATTGGCAAGACAACTGTTGCTAGGAAGATATACAATATTTGTGTCAATGAACACTACTTTGATGTTTGTTCATGGTGTCGCGTTTCTACGGCATATGTAAAGAAAGAGTTGCTGGTTGATCTCTTGTGTCAGATTGTTGAGCTCCCTGATAAAATTGATGACATGCCTGAAGATGCTTTATCTGACAAACTGAGAAAAGGTTTATTGGAGAAGAGGTACTTAATCATCATTGATGATATATGGAGTACTAAGGAGTGGGAATACTTGCAGAGACATTTTCCTGATGACAATAGTGGAAGTAGAATTATCATAACTACCCAAATGAATGAAGTGGCTCAGAATGCCAAGAGTTATAGTAACCGTCTTTCTCTTCGTCCCCTAGACCATAAAGAGAGCTGGACGTTGCTGCAGGAGAAGCTGCAATACGAAGAAACCCATCAACCTGACCTAGTAGATATTGGTAAACAAATTGCAAAGAAATGTCATGGTCTACCACTTTCAGTTGTTTTGGTAGCAGGTCTCCTTTCAAGGGTAGAGAAGACACCAGGTTGTTGGAGACAAGTTTCTGAAAGTTTAAGTGTTGTGGGAGGCACACGCACAACATACCACGCAATAGAATTGAGTTACAAGCATTTACCTGAACATCTCAAGCGATGCTTTCTTTATTTTGGGGTGTTTTCTGAAGATAAAGAGATTCCTGTTTCAAAGTTGACAAGGTTGTGGATAGCTGAAGGATTTGTACTTGAAAAGGATACGAAGAGTTCAGAAGAAGTAGCAGAAGAATACTTGATGGATCTTATTGGACGAAACTTAGTGATAAATTCCAAAACCACTTCTAGAGGAAGGGTCAAAGCATGTCAAGTTCATGATGCAGTACGCAATTTCTGCCTGCTAAAATCTAAAGAAGAAGACTTTTTGCAACGGGTACCTGAAACTGATTCTCCTCACAGTTTCCCTCAGAAGCCTGAGCAACACCGCGTTTTTGTCTTTTCTGAGCAAGAGGACTTTGCTAACTGGAGGCCATCTGATTTACCAGTTCGCTCTCTGTTGTTCAAAGCAGTTAGTTATGTGCTTCCTTGTTACTCATTTGATATTTCATTTGTTTTAAGTCAATTCAAGCTTCTTCTGGTGCTGGATCTGTGGTCCCTCAATATGGACGGTTCTTTTCCTAGAGAAATGCAGTTCTTGATTCATCTGAGGTACTTAGCAGTTCGGATTGATACTAATACTATACCATCATTTATAGACAATCTCCGGAACCTTGAAACATTCCTGGTGAAAGGGAGAAGAGGGGAAATAGCATTACCAGATACTCTATGGAATATGGTAAGGTTGAGACATCTGCATGTTGATAATCGTGCTTCTTTTGCCTTGCTCAAGGACAGAAAAGAATTCTATGAGTACTCCTACCAGCTAGAGAACTTAAAAACATTTTCTTCACCGATTCTTGCTTTTGAAGAAGACTCAAGAAAGATAATGAGAAGATTACCCAATCTTCAAAAGTTGAGATGCTGGTTTGTGGAGTCATGGGAGAGTTATCCCAATAGGTTTAAGGGGAAATGCAACCGGTTTCCTGCCTTGGACTTTCTTGCTCAGCTTGAATCACTGAAAGTGTTTTACTGTGGTCATCAGGTGCTACATCCTTGTGAGTTCAACTTCCCATCAAATCTCAAGAAACTGACACTCTCAAATTTTCGGTTACCATGGATTGAAATTTCAAAACTTGCAATGTCACTGCCTAACCTTGAAGTCCTGGATTTGAAGTTCAGAGCCTGCAATGATAAATTGTGGGAAGTAGGATATGGGGAGTTCCCTAAGCTCAAGATTTTGAAATTAGACAGGCTCAACATTGAAAAGTGGAAGGCACCAGAGGATGCATTCCCCAGATTACAGCATCTGGTTCTGCAAAAATGTAAGCACCTTGAAGAGATCCCTGAAAGTATGGACACTCTACAGACCATTGATGTGCAGTGGTGCACCCATTCTGCTGTGAAATCTGCCATAAAAATTTGGAAAGATCAACGTGAGCTAGGTAACGATGGATTCAAGGTTTCTATCCAGCCTTTGGATTGTGATCCCAGAGCATCTCCTTTAGGATTCCTGGTATGCTTATTAATGCATCAAACTCAAAGCCATATTTTAGTGGTTTACTAAATTCCAACAATTATTTTTGTATATATACAATGTTATTTTCCACTAATTTTGGGTTTCTTTGTCAAGAACATGCAGTTCAACTCTGAGTAACACTTCAGATCAAGGAAACACCATTCTGGCAAATAAAGTATAGAGGTTCAGCATTGGCACTGTCTTTGCCATTTCAATTAACTTAAAACAAGAAGCTATGAACATCAACACACTTAAAGCTTGGAATTAGTCTTGGAGCATTTTACTTGCCAGTCAATCAGTAAGTTCTGCCATCCTCTGTATTCTATTATCCCTACTATGTATATGGTGATTTGCCAGCAACATCTTTGAAACCATTTGTATTACTATATGAAACTTATATCTATTTGGTACAGAGCCTTACTTGATTCCTTATATGGTGGGGTGTTATGGTATGGGAGAATACAGATGAATAGAAACTCATATTTTAGGCATATCTAGTTGTATGAAAGTAGACTGTTATCCATATTATAATTGTTTTCTTAATTGAAAGCATCTGGTAGACGAAGAATTTTATATTATTTACTTTGAATAGATTTTTAAAATTTTGTTTGGATGAACTTCTTCCTTTTCCATGTAGATAAGTTCAAGAGAAGTAGCATTGAACATGTTTAATGAGATGCAATTTTCCACTTCATTGTCAAGAACAAACAGTTCTCAGTTTCAGTTTGAGTAAAGGTGGGTCATGTTCTCTGTTTTGAATAATAGTGGAGGAAGAGTGACAAAGAGCCAAAACAAATGAACATCAGGGCAAAACCCCACACCTTGGCCTGACAGGAAAGTAGAGGGTAAATCATGGTGGCTCAGTGCTGATGCCCACAAGGACCTCACCATATTGGTAGTAATACTCATACTGCGATTGCTAGAGTTCGATCTTGTGTTCTTGCCCATGATCTACCACTCAGGAACCAACTAAGATGTCCGTGCGGGCATTGAACATCCTTGTTAGTGCACACTATTGATGAATGTCTTAAATTGATGCCTTTTCCTTGCATATTTTGGCATTTTCTGCTTGTTACTCATTATATTATGTGTCATTTTGGTCATTTATGGAATTATTGCGTGTGTTAGGTGATTTGATAAAGAAATGATGGTTTTGAGACATTTGATAAAATATTTGATCAGGATTTTGGAGCCACCTTAATACGAGAGCACAATTGGATGACCAAAGTATTGATTTTTGGAGTTTTGGGATGGACCATGGCGTGACCCGCGACCGATGAGAGCACCGAAGCATTACTGAAGACCTTGGAGGCCTCCCCGGCTAGCCACGGGCGTGGCCACACCCGTGACTAGCAAACAGTGTGCACTGTCTTGTGGGTACGGGTCTGGCCACACCCTTGCCTGCACCTGTGCCCACATTACAATAACACTCTATGTTGCTGGGCACGGGTCTAGGCATACCCGTGCCCCAGCCTCTGCAACATGTTAAAAGGCATTTTTCCCTTGTTTTAAAAGAACTTTTTTCTACTCAAAAACTCATTTTTTATTTTCCCTTCCACTTCCTAGCTAGGGTTAACTTTAGAGATTAGTGTAGATTTCTTGTTTCTTTCCATTTCCAAGCTCAAGAACATTGCAAATCTTGGATTTCAAAGCTTCAATAGAGAAGCTTTCTTATTCATCTCTTCCCTTTACTTTTCATTTATGCTTTCAATTATTCGTTTAATATTGTGTATCTATTGTTATATTATGAGTAGCTAAGTGCCTAAGTGTTTTGGGACTAGGATTTGGTTTGATTTCTTGCTATTGATGCATATGAGCTGTATTGCATAAAGGGGATTATTTGGGTGTTCTAGGGTTTGTTGTGTGAATTGGGTTTGTTGTGAAATTGTGTATAATTGTTGGATCTCAATTATATGCTTTATTTGGAGTGTGTTTGTTGCTACGAGAGTAGAGCTTGTACACTAGCCATACATTCACACACTTGATGCCCAAAGAATATGGATGCAATGGAATTGCTATTTTTATGTCTGATTTATTGTGTTAAAAAAGTGCAGAAATTACTATTATATTATGGACTAGACTTATATTAAAATGTGTATTAAAAAAAAAAAAAGATTTTGATTAAATAATGTAATTTCCCTTCATTAATCCATTTGAAAGTTTCACCGCAAAATGGTACTCTATAAAATCCTCCCAAGAATGTGGAAACAATTTTTATTCTTTCCAATGTGGAGCACTGGACTCAATAGTTTTTCAAAACCAATTGGACAAAACTTCAAAATGGGCACACAATAACTCATTGATCCATGAAGGAACCATAGTTATAAATAGCTGCAATCATGATAATAATATTTCCAAACACAAGAACACTCTGCATTAAAGCCCCATGAGCTCCAGATTCTGTGATCACAGGGTCTCATCTCTTTCAAGTCACGAGGCGAATCAAGGGAAAATAGCGATTGTTGGGAATGGACACCCTGAGAAAATACGATTTCTTGCAGCCCTACCTGCATAGAGTGTCAAAGAAATCTTGAAGAACATATAGCTGTTATCCATATGTTTTCTGGTTTACCCAAAAGTGGTAAAATCTTGTCTTTTGATTAGGGTCTTTGTTTTTAAATCAGTATCTACTAACAAATACAGGGAATTTGATTTTTGATTCCATTTCTTGAATTGACACTGACCCTCCTTTTATTTTTTGAGTACTACTGGCTCTGTTACAATGTAGTATCTGTTCATATCTACTTTCTCAACCTATTGAAACACAAAGAGTCACACTGTCCCTCCTTAAACATAAACTTTTTATATATTCAAGTCAAGCAGGCTTGAGGACTAGTGTTGGGCGGAGACAAGTCCAGCACTAGGTGGCTAGGGGATTGTTGGGTGAAGGCCGGCCTGAAGGGCCAAGTCCAGTATACTGCCTCTCGAAAATGTGGCGGTATAAAGAAATAAATTTGCGCTTTCACTACAAACTATAGCTTTTGGTATAGTGGTAAGCGTTTGATCCAAACAACTAGGAATTGGACAACTCTGGAGTGCATAATAGAATTGAAATCATTGCGAGGAAACAAGAGAATTTATCTGACCTGTCAATGAACCATCGCGGGGATACAGTTAAGTTCGTTGGAATCAATGGTCGGGAGGATAGATTGAGAGCTTGAAACCGCCACTCTTTGGCTTGTGTTGCTGTATTTTGCGGGCAGATTCAGCAGCGATTTTGTTTGTGCAGTAAAGCTCCATCATTTGAAGGCTCGGAATATCAGCCAGACCGAATGGCACTGCCTCGAGTTTATTGCAGTGCCTTAGTGCAAGAAACTTTAGCCTCGGGAAGTGATGGCTCGAAGCCTGCCACGACGCTAAATCTGTCCTTCCAATGCAGAAGACCTGGAGATGACGAAAACCACCGTTCACTGGCTCCCAAATTTCTCCCTTAAACGCGTTATCATCCAGCTTGAGGACTTCAAGGTTCTCCAAGGTTCCTAATATTGTCATATCCTTCCATTCAAGAGAAGTGTTTGATATCGTGAGCTTCTTCAGCTTCGATGGGAATTTGTAGGCCTGGGGAAGGCCCCTTAGTTTCCCAGTTTGCCCGAGGAAAACATCGTTTAGCAGCTTCAGATTTTCCAGGTGGTCTAACTTCCCGAGATTGTCAAACAGCATGCTTGGACCCTTGCTTTCCATAAGTGAGGACAACTTCCCGCGAATTCCCAATTTTGTGAGATTCGGGGTCCTTGTCAAGACCTCTTCTGTGCAACTTTCGGGAGATATAGTGGAAAGTGTATTCAGGCTCCCGGTTATCAACCGATCTTTGCTGCTTTTTGATGCTAGCGGGGATGGCAAATTAGTACAAGTGTTCGTGTGGAGATGCCTAAACCTTTGCATACTCCATATATCCGCCTTGATTTCAAGGCTTCGCTGTGAGGTCTCGATTATGAGAGTCTGCATATTCCAAAGGTTGCCAATGGAGGGAGGGATAATCTTGATATCACTCGAAAGAGCAATGTACCTCAAATGGAAGAGTTGAGTCATTTCCCGGGGGAAGCGAGTTAACAGGATAGGCTTCATTTCCAACACCCGGAGCAACTTGTAGGCCTTCGGGATGGCCTGTATGTGTTCTAAAGGCAGCTCGATTTCCTTGGAGGAGAAACATAAGAAAGACCTGACGTGTTCACCACACGCCCTCGATGCACGTATGAAGTCCAAAACGTGGGAGTGAACACATAGGCGACGGTAAGTATTCAGCTCCCCCGGTGAGGGAAAAGGCTCATTTCCCCCCATTCTAATCTCTCGCAAAAGATTGTCCTCCCGGGCTTCGTTCTTGCAGAACTCGTGCAGCATATCATGCATTCGACATGTTTTGATCCGCCCATCTATTCTCTTCTTCATCACGATGACTAAATTCCTATTCACAAGATCATTCAAGTAGCCCTCTGCTATATCTTCCAAGGTTAATTGCCCCTGGTTCTGAATAAACCCTTCTGCTATCCACAAACGGATTAGTTTCCAAGCCGGGATTTCATATCCCCCTGGAAACGCCCCAAAGTAAAGGAAGCAAGATTTCAAGTCATAAGGCAAATGGTCATAACTCATTTCTACTAACTTCTTGCAATTCTCTTCATCCTTATTAACATAAGTACTCACACATTCAGCCACCATCTCCCACTCACCTCTCCTATCGCCTTTGTCTAAGAGAACCCCCGCAATCACCACTATTGCAAGTGGTAGCCCGTCGCACTTTATTGCTATCCTCAACCCGATGGCTTTCAACTCAGAAGGGCAACTTTGCTTTCGGCAAACCTTCTTCTCAAGAAGCTCGAAACTTTCATCATGGCTCAGAAACTTCAGGTCGTGAGGCTGACCATTAGAAGTGGCACGCGATGCCACATTGCCCTGACGGGTAGTTAACAACACTCGACTTTTCTTCTTGTTGTTGGGGAAAGCTATTTTCAAAAGCTTCCAGTCTTTTTCTTCCCACACATCATCAAGCACAATCAAGTACTTTCCACTCTCCAAGAACTTGCTTATTTTTTCAGCCAATTGCTCTTCGGTCATATCGTGGTAGTCCTTGGTGCGTTGGGTGAAAATGCTCAGTATGTTGAGAAATATGTCCTTCCTATTGTAAGACCGCGAAACATAAACCCAATGGCGAGTAAAGAACTCATATTCAATCTCAGAATCCTTGAACACTTTTCTAGCTAATGTGGTTTTACCAAGACCAGGCATGCCAAAGATCGAGACGACTTCTAAGTCATCCGATCCCCCAATCAGACGATCAATTATGGTCTTTGCCTCTCCATCAAACCCCACAACATCATCTTCTTCAACCACCGGAGCCTTTTGAGGATTCAACAAAAGAAGAAATCAAAAGCAAGAAGATAGATGATGAATAATCAATGTGAGAGAGTGAAACAAAAATGGTATGGACTACAATCTATAGATGCAGACAGTCAAATCAATCAGGCTTATGAATGTGCATTATATGCTAATAGGTATTCACATATTAAGTTAGTTAAAGTTTTGCAAGTTATCTTCATGTAGTTTGCATGAACATTCAAAAAAAAGTATGCAAGTTGTAATATGAATGCCAATATTAATTTTGTATATGTATGTTATATATGTATTAGTTTAGTATATTATTTACATATATATTTTTTATTTACGATTTTTCAAAAAAAAAATATTTTTTATTTACGGAAAATCCTGCCACTATTACCTGAAGGTGCGCTTTGGGCGAAGCTCGCCTTATATTAGTTACATATATTTATGTTATATCCCACTATATATTAGTACATGTATGCACAAGGAGTACTTTTAATTTTCTCAAATAGGGGTTATTTTTGTCTAATCATTATGTAAATTATATCCGCCACCCTGATAAGTTCACAATTTATCTTTAGTGTACTATAAGTTCACTTTTATTATTAATGAACATTAAGTATAAAAATAATAAAGAATCTATACAAATTGTTAAATGAGCATGTGACATACTAAAAAACATAAAAATAAACAATAAACATGTATCCCAGTCCATCTTGGTCCAGGATATTAATCCATGTTAACTTTTGTAGCATGTTACCATATATTGTATAAAATAAAGACCATGTTTAGTAATATATTTAGAGTCCGTTTGGAAACCCAGAAAATGACTTCTGAAAATATTTTTCGAATTTTCAGCGTTTGGATGCAATAGGAAAATTCAGTCAACGGAAAACATTTTTCGATGACTGGGGAAAATGAAGCCATTTTGGCAGAAAATGACTTCCACCAAAATTTGGGGGAAGTCATTTTCCGCCAAAATGTTTAAACATACAATTCTACTCATTTTTCCAGAAAATAAACTAAACACACCAAGTTTTCCAAAATCCAACCAAACACCGGAAAGGAAACATAAGTCATTTTCTAGCTTTCCAAACGGACCCTTAGCTTACTTTGGCTTATTTGATCACTATTAGCTATTTGACTTGGTTAAACAATCAATACAAGTGTTTGATTAATTAATTTTTTGTAATAGTTTATTGCTTCAAAATGCTAAAATTCAAATAATTTTTTTGATTAATTTTAAAAAAAAATCATTTTAATGTAATCAGTTATCAGGTAACAATTAATTTACCAAAATACTTTTCTACAATCCGCTAATATTAATTAGTCAAGTCTGTTAACCCAATCACCTAACTGCTATTTAACTCTTGTCAATAAGAATTGAACAAACTCATTTCTACTGCAAATAAAACATTTTACTACCATAATGCGTAATCTATAATTTTCAGTAAAATAATAGTTAGTTAATTAATAACTCGATAATGTAATTAAATATAATTTATTGTATTTTACTAAACTGACCTTTCTCTCTGCAGCATCTTTGGATGCATTATCCATCTGCAAAGCTTGAAGGCCATAGGCATTATTCTGGCGAATCGCCCTCACTTCATTCCTTATAGATTCAATCTCTCTTGCGGCGGCGTTGACTTTGACCAGGTGAGCCGGTTTATCCACGTACCGGGTCATCATCCCTTTGGACCGGTGGAGCTTCGCCTCCACCACGAACTTGTCGATGGCGTCCTCCGCCTTGTTCACGGCGATCCTGATCTTCTTCACCAGCTCCTTGATCACCTCGTTCTGGCTGCGCCGCCGCGCCGCCTCCTTGAGGAACGCCTTGAAGTCGCCCAGGTCGCCCAGGAGGCTCTCCGCTTGCTCCTTTATTCCGAAGATGAGCTCCGCGTTGTCCCGGAGGAGCTGTAGAAGATTCTCCACCAGGAACTGCACGGCCGCGTCCGCCATGGCTGGGGATCTGCGGCGGCGAGAGGCTCAGGAACGTTGACTGAAAGTCTACTTCTTGTTTCTTGGTCTTTGGTGATGGAGTGGGAATAATAATTCATGAATCAAAGTTGACTGCGTTTTAAATGATTGAAACAAAAGCCATTTTTTACAGAGCTCTTTTTTCTTGAAATTTTACTAAGGCATTATTTGGCTATTAACCATTTTAACAGGGTTGAGTCTCACCAGTGGCTGGCTGTGTGGGCCTGGGTTCATGTTCAGTTGAGTGATCATGATTTATATCCTCCCAAATGCTCTGTCGGACCCTTAAGATTGGAGTTCAACCTTTTGGAAGAATGATATGACAAAATTCTAGACATTATTAAATTTAAAAATAAAAATACATTTTTTGTCCATAAATTATGAGGTAATTGTAGAATTTATTTCTAACTGTTAGTCATGCTCACTTTTTGCCCATAAAGAATAGTTTCATGAGGTAAAGTGGCCCTAGATTTTAATAGTTATGTTGTTACAGATGTTAAAACTATAATTTTTTAAAGATTTTAGAGGTATATATTACAACGATCAAAAGTTATGGACTATAACAGGTAACAAGAAACACTTGAGCTACTAAAAATGTATTTTTTTTTTTTGGAAAATGGTCAATTAGGCCCTCGAACTTTAGCTTAAAAGTCAATTAGGCTCCTAAACTTTTTAAAGGTGCAATTACACCCATCAACAATTCATTTAAGTGCAATGAAGCCCAAAAACAAATTAATGACCTGCTATAACAGGTCATTAAGGTTCAGGCCACCTTCCGCGAATTTTCTGGCAAAAAAAAAAGTGATCGGCAAAATTTTCGATAAAAGAAGTGATCAAAGAAATTTTCGACAAATCTGGGTCGGTTGCTAGTCACATTTTTTTTGTTGAAAAAATTCGCCGGAAGGTGGCCTAAACCCTAATGACCTGTGATAGCAGGTCATTAACTTGTTTTTGGACTTCATTACACATAAATGAATTGTTAATAAGTGTAATTGCACCTTTAAAAAGTTTAGGCGCTTAATTGACTTGCTAAAGTTCGAGGGTCTATTTGACCCTTTTCCTTTTTTTTTTTTTTTGTCATATTAAAGAATGACTTGCTTTCCAGTTTCCTCCAATAGGACCAATAATTCACCACCTTAAAGTCTTCCTCAGAAGTTTCCAAGAACAAGAGAAGCAAACGCCAGAGAGTTTACTTTACTTTACTTTACTAAGCTCCCAGAAACCATGGAAGAAGCTACCCAACTTCACAGTTAACCACCACACCTCGGAGATCAACTTCGCTATGGCCACCGCCGCCGATGCACTGGTGGGGGAGCTCGTAAGACGGCTAGCAACACTAGTAGACGAAAACGGGTCCTACATAATCTGGATAAAGGACCAGACCGACGACTTGGTGGCCGACCTGGAATCCTTCAACGCCTATCTCATGCAGGCGTCGATGAACCAGCGAGCCCGCGACAACTTCGTCCTGCAAGACGTGGTGGACAAGATCCGAAACGTTGTTACTGATGCCGAGGATGCCATCCTTAAGTACACTGTGGAGACGAAGAAGTATAATAACAGAGGGCTGATGAAATACCTGCAAATACTGGCTTATTACGCCAAGGTTAACGAATCCGCGAGGGAGATTCAGAGCATCAGAGAAAGGGTTAGGAAAATCAGGCAAGATCACTCCCCAGTTCTTCAGGCCCTCATAGATGAACCCAACAGAGGCCAACCAATTCTGCAGAGGATGGTACTTACTCTGTTTCATTTTATTATTCATTGGTAGAATTAATTATTATTTTTTCTGAATTTTTTGAGTAATTTTTATTTATTATTTTGTTTTTTTTTTTTGAAAATTATTATTTTGTTTGTTTAATTCTGCTATTAATATAATTTCTAAATATATAAATTTTATGTATTTTTTGGAGTACTATTGAGTCTATTACAATGTAGTATCTAAACTCTCATTTAGGAGAATCACAATTTAATATTATAAAAAATTAAATTAAACATTAACTGCACCAAAAATATAAAATTTCGGGTGTGTTTGGTTGGTGGGTTTTGCCCATAAGAATGGGTATGAAAGTGATTGTTGTTTTGTTGATAGGTTTTTAGAACGCTACTATGGGTTTCGAATACTCCATCAATTGAAAAACTCATACCGAAATAAAATAAGGGTTTCATTCCCTTATTCATTCTCATTTCACCCTACTATTGTTAAATACTTTCACTAAAACTCATTACTATTATCAAATATTAGATACCCATTTCAATTTCGATTCCTATGTGCGGACCAAACACACCCGAAGAGTGTATATCCTACAAACCACTTTTTTATTTTTTGTATTTGATACATTTAGGTTTCTCAGCTTAGGCTGCCTAGAACTCTGCCCCGCGCAAGAGAGGGGTAGGAATATGAATAAGTAGTTAAATTTAAAGATAAAAATATAACAATATTACAACTATTATACTTCCTTGAGTTCCTTCCACCCAATATTACAACCAACTTATTCTAACAATCATCTATGTATTACACTTATGAGTAAGTGCGCCCTATGCCCTTATTAACCTATGCACTACCATAATTCCAATTATTACAAGTATTGTGTAGTTTAACACCACTATTTGTTTATCCTATCAATTACTTACTTTTCCATAACTATCACCACTCCTCCTCTTCCTTCTTCTTGTTGTTGTTGTTTATGTTTTCATATATGAACTAAAACAATTGGATTTCAAAAACACATCTTTGATTTATAACTTGCAGACTTCATATTTAGAAGTAGACTTGTAAGTGTATCTATGTTTCATAACTTCATTCTTTGTAATGTTTAAAGGCCCCCGTGGTTGAAGAAGAAGACGTGGTTGGTTTTGATAATGAAGCAAAAATTATAAAAGATCGTCTCAAAAAAGGAGTGAAAGATTTGACATTCATATCAATCAAAGGGATGGCGGGTCTTGGCAAAACTACATTGACCAAAATGGTATTTAAAGATCGTGATTTGCAGTATGATTTTTTCACTCGACTTTGGGTTTATGTCTCAAGAACTTTTAACAGAAAGCAAATATTCTTGGACATTCTAAGTAACTTCACAAAGAAAACCAACAAGTTTCATGACATGTCGGAGGAAAACTTGGCTAAAAATATACAAGAATTTCTAGAGGGCGGAAAGTATTTCATTGTGATGGATGATGTGTGGTCGGTGAAAGATTGGGAGTGTTTGAAGATTGCTTTTCCAAACAATATGAAAGGCAGTCGAGTATTGGTGACCACTCGACACGAAAAGGTGGCTTTACATGTTGATTCTGAAGGCAATCCCCACCAGTTAAAATTCTTAATTAACAATGAAAGTTGGGAGTTACTAGAGAAGAAGGTATTCCGCAAAGAAAAGTGTCCTCCTTTCTTAGAAGCCCGTGGTAGACAGATAGCAACAAAGTGCCAAGGACTACCCCTTGCAGTAGTAGTGATTGCTGGTGTCCTAAACAAAAACAGCACACCTAGTCATTGGAAAAGGGTAGCAGAAAATCCCTTCCCAGAAATTAACCAAGAAAACCAGAGTTACAATGAGCTAGTAAAATTGAGCTATGATCAATTACCTTATTACTCCAAAGATTGCTTCTTGTACCTTGCAGCCTTTCCTATAGGACATGAGATTGCAGCTTGGAAACTAATCCGGTTGTGGATAGCCGAGGGATTCATTCCTCGAATGGAGGGCGCATACACGCTAGACTTAGAGCGGACCGCTGAGAAATACTTAGAAGATCTCATCGACAGAAATCTCTTGATGGTGCTGAAAAGACGAGCAGACGGTCAAATCAAAACATGTCGAATTCATGACACCTTACACGAGTTCTGCAAAAAAGAAGCTGCCATTAAGGATCTGTTCCATGAAATGGACCGAGCTAAGCTCGAGGCAAACAAGATTCCTCGTCGCCTTTGTGTCCACTCCTCCATTCTGGAGTTCTTGAAATCGAACGACAGGCCATCCAGCGAACGTGTTCGGTCTTTCCTATGTTTTTGTTCCAAAGAAACAGAAATTCCACCGGAGTGCTTATCAGCCATTCCGAAATCCTTTCCTCTTCTTAGGGTGATGGATGTTGAATACCTGAAATTCAAAGTGCTCCCAAAAGAATTCTATCTCCTCTACAATCTGAGATTCCTTGCAGTCTCAACTGAACTGAAAATCCTCCCCCAAAACTTCAAAGAGCTTTGGAACATGGAGACACTAGTGTTCAACACTACCCAAAACAGCCTTGAAGTTAAGGCAGAGATATGGAGTATGCGAAAACTAAGGCATGTTCACAGCAACACTTCCCTGCAGCTCCCCCCTCCTCCCATAACCGGCATGGCGAACGACCTGGGAAGTACAGACATAAAGACACTTTGCACCATATCGCCTTCAAGCTGCACAAGGGAGATTTTGGACAAGACCCCGGATCTTCAAAAGCTGGGAATTCGAGGGAATTTAGCAGAGCTTTTGGAGACCAGGCAAGGAGGGATCAGTTTGTTTGACAATATTCAAAAGCTGGATTGCCTGGAGAATCTGAAGCTCATAAACAATGCCCTCCACGGCAACAAACTGCGGAGCTTCCCTCGACCTGAAAAATTCCCACGCAGGTAAGGCTCTTAGCAAACGAGCATACAAATGTTCAGACTCTGTTGGTTTTCCAAACGAGCTCTAGAATTTGTTCATTTATGTTCACTAACGCTTAACAAACACAAACACGAACACCAGTAGTTTACCTAAAACTCTGTTTGCTAATACCCCTACACACGCAGGCTAAGAAAGATGACTTTGTCGAACACACCCTTCGATTGGAAGGACTTTGGTATATTGGCATCACTGGAAGAACTCGAGGTGCTCAAGTTGGAGGAGGATGCATTTAGAGGAGAGTTCTGTGATGTAAGGAGCTTTGTGTTCAAACAGTTACAGTATCTGCGGATTGAGAGGGCTAATTTGGTATCATGGACAGCTTCAAAAGAGAGTTTTAGGGCACTGAAATATCTCATCCTCAGAAATTGCTCTAAGCTTGATGCTGTTCCGGCTGCCTTTGCTGAAATACAGAGCCTTAAGTTGATGGAGTTATATTGCAGCAACAAAAGGGCAACTG